CCAGACGGCCAAACGACCCCGAATTTGTGACTTAAACTCCAACTCGAAACACAACGAAGCTGAGGATGGCCTGCCAAGCAAACGTGGAATACGCTTATCAACCTGTGACGATGCGGGGCTCATGGAACCAGAGCAACAGAGAGGAAAAGGACACAAACTACCCAAGACCATGGAATTTGCTGGGCTTGTGCATCTTGAGACCAGTGCTTCCCAATATTGTCCAATTCACAGAGCTGGTTTCTCTTCGTCCTAGGTGACTCCGTCCGCGGGCGCCCCATCCACTCAAGCCAAATGGCGAATTTGCCTTCAACCCCCTGTAATTCCTATATCCCTACACCCCCAGACCCCAAAGGAAAAGGAATCTAATTCCTAGTGGTAAAACCCTACACCCCCAGACCCCAAAGGAAAAGGAATCTGCATGAAATTGCTGGGTCGCAAGCGAGCCCATTGAGTCTCTTGGAGGCTGCCTTCGCAGGCACTCACTACCTCGAACTGCTGCCAGGCAGCTTCATTGCCCTTTCGGGAAACGTAGTGGGGTAGAATGGGGGTTTAGGGGTTTAGGGGTTTAGGGTATTGATTTCTCTTTGGTAGCAGTCGGAGTTTCAGAGAAGGCCTGGCAAGTGGCAATCCGGCGTTGTCCCGATCAACGGGCACGGACGCAGGAGCCAGGAAAACAAAGCCTTAACTCAACGGAGCAGCCCTATTCAGAAGGTACTGCATCCTTGGTGGCCTTGGTGTTGCCCCTTCCACTGAAAGTTCAGGACCGCCAGCACAGTACTGGGATTATTATTAGATTATGCTGGTGCAGCGTTGCTCCACCACGTGTTCTGCAGTGGCGCTCCATTTCCATTTCCGTTTCCATTTCCATAAGCCAACGGCTACTGTGCGATATGGTCAACTGTCAACAGAAGGAAAACTAGGAGAAGAAAAAACATCCAAAATGAAATACGTGCCGGATGTTACTGGTAAGTTCGCTCTAACTAAGCACCAAGATAAAACGGTCGACTTATAGCTCTGTCTCTGTTGATCTCACGGCTGCAAGTCGTGGGTTGTTTTACTCGCGGAGCTCCACTCCCACAAGACCACGGGTTACATCACAATATATTATAGTAAAGCATATGACTGTTTGCACTATGCTGTTATACTGGAATACCTGGATTACGGCACACTCTAAGCGCATCTCAGCCGGTCGCCGTGCGAAGGAGGATGGAGTCCAGCTTGAGTTGGGCCTGGCCACAGCTTTCGTGACTTCCTCGGTTTGGGGTTTAGGGCTTTAGGTTTATGGCTTAGGGTTTAAGGCATTTGGGGGCTTGAAGCTTGGCAGAATGGGGCCGCCAACATTCACGATAATCAAAGATCTTTCTTCTTGGCTTCGGGCCTCTGCGGGGACACCTACTGCGATATTTCTCCCACAAGCATCAGGACCGTGCTGGGATTTTGCTCAATATGGCAATGGTACCTGCGGCATAAGGAGCCGTGAACAACTCAGAGGGCTTTATCAAGCTTGGCAACTTCTTCCTCAAGGCTCCGGCCTATTCTGAGCTTCAGGCTTAGGACCGGCGTTTTTTCTAGTGATTCTTAGGGGACGATGTGACACTGGTGCTGGGAGGTGGACCGGCAACCAATTCTGGAGTGGAACTCGGGTCCATCCACTCCGGACAGGCAAGGAAATGGCGCTGTTATAACATAACCCAGATATTCCACTACAGTTTTCGTATGATTGTTTCATGTACTTTGCTGCAGTACAAGAGCTGAACCCGGCCCATAGTCATAGGGTCGTGATGACGACCATCGACTGCCAGGTTTTGGCCCCTCGAAGATTCCGGAAAAAGCCTGCCTTTCTGCCTGCCTATCTTACTCTGTGAACCTATCTGCATTGTCTGCATGCAGACATCTATGTTTATGTATACGTATATATGCGTGCCTATCTGTAACTGTGCCTTTGCATACATCTGCATATCCTGTATGCCTAGAACTATAAGTCCTTGAGCTGCTCAATCACCTTCTCGTTCCAACATCGCACCCTACAACATCAAATTCAACAGGAGCACAGCAAGGAGCACAAAGCCGCCCTTGTAATTAACAGGGGGGGCTTAATCGAAAGAGAGGCGTTGGGTATGCTATAAACTCTACACATCAAAGGGCTTCTGACGATTGGCAACTCTTCAAGCTTTTCTATGAAACCCTTGCAGAAAGCATCAGCAATCTGCCCTAAACCCTAAACCCCTGAACCCCAGGCCCGGCCTCCACAGTCGAAGTCATCAGGTCCAAGGCCCGGAGCCATTCGAAACTGCTGCCGCAAACGTGCGTCTCGGAAGGGCAACTCTCGGGCTCCGGACTCACTTTAGGCTCTTTTTCCTGAAAGGTTCTTAGGTTTTGTTTTTAGTGCAGTGGCTCTTTCTCCGCTTCTTAGGGGTTTTAGGGTTGAGGGCTCCGTCGCTTCAAGCTCCGAGGTCCGGGATTTCGCTCAGGGAGACGTCCGCCAAACAGTGCCAAGGAAGGCCCAGAGTCCCTTGCAAGACATGGGCTCCATGGTTCTGGGCATGTCAGTGCTTTTCACTACGTAGTTGCTGAGCTCCTCTGTCCAAACAAGGCTAACCTTGTGTGGACCTAATGAAGTGCTTCCCACTCGGCCTTCAACACTCCTGCGAACCCTGAAACGCCAAATCCCTGAACGACTAACAACACCAAGAACCCCACAGCCCTGAATGAACCCCAAACAGGCCAAAAACCCCGAAACAGGCCCAACAACCGTAAACTATCAGCCCAAAAGCAAGTTTAGCCGGGGCTCCGCTGAGCTGCAGCTGACCAGGTCGGGTTGGAGTCGGAGGCCTGGGTGGGTGCCCGTGCGTGTCTAGTGAACCCGAACATATCTGCACATACCGTATCTGTGTATACAACATAACGCACAAGTATGTATCCATGTAGGTAGGTAAGTAGGTAGATGGGTATGCATGATTGCAAGTATTGGATGGATGGATGGATGGATGGATACATGCACGTACATACATTCAATGTATGCAAGTGCAAGTATGTGTGCACATATGTATGAATGCATGTGTACATATAAAAACAGAACAATATAAACCATTGTATTCCGCAGTGCGTCGAAGGCAGCTTGTATGCTGCTCGTGAGGCTTTGGAGGAGTAGAGCTGCAAGGTCGATACCCGCCAAGGACAGGCATGTTCTGGGCACATACATTAGCAGGCCAGGTCTGGGGAGAGGCTCTTTGAGGTCATGGACGGTGCCGATGGGGTGACAGGCCAGGATGAAGAATATTGAAGACTCACAGCCTGCCATCATCTTGTGAATGGCACGATATATGAACTCAGGTTAATTACCTGCAGCTTCCTCAGAAACGCCTGCTGGGCAGAGCTCCAGACTGTCAAATCGATGCAGGAGGCTGCCTGCGGTCCACCATCGGTGCTCGTGGGCGCAAGCCTGCTGACACGCAACAAAGCTTCGAGAAGCGTGTCGAGTGGAGGAGGAGGAGGAAGAGGAGGAGGAGGCGTTATGCAGGAAGGCCTTCGTGCCACATCTGCAGTCCGTTGGGGCGGTGCAAACCCGAGAGTCCCCAAACTTGTTCATCCGATTAATCGTACGTTCTGAAAGGCTGCACATTGATGGCCATGTCGCCTCAATAAACAAAGAAGTTCTTGCTTCACAGCCCATCTGACTGTCTGCATGAAGAGTTTCTCATTGAGCACTGACGTGAGTTGTTTCCTTTAGGGAAACGTTTTACGACGGGATGTAAAGCCCTCGAAAACGGCATCACAAACCCCTCAACTGCTAGTGGAAACACAAGGCTTCAATGTTTGGGGATTAATATAAAGCACCATAGTCATGGGCAGAGTGCAGGCTGGGGCACTGCAAAGCTTCGGAGTTCGCTCTCTTGACCTAAATGCTGAGTTCGAATCAAAATATTACTCCGATCCAGTTGGAAGCAACAGTATTCACAGAGTGGCATACTGGGAGCCTGCAGAGCATTACGAGGGGGCCGCAACACCATGTCGGAAATCATCCCAGATCAAACCTTGCCTTTACTGCGGAGTTCTCACCGAGGAGGCTCGGCAAAAATCCGCTGTGCCTGCAGCAGCAAGACTGATTCAGTTTGTCACTAGTGGCTTAGTTTCGTAACCGCTGGGTGGTATTTGCAGTAGCAGCAACAGCAGCAGTAGTTGGTCGTTGCAGTGGGCGGCAATATTCGGTAGCGGCGGTGGTGGTCGTAGTGGTGGGTGCTTCTGGGCGGTGGTGGTGGTGGTGGTGGTGGTCGTGGTGGTGGTGGTGGTGTGCTGTTGCTAGTACGTCGGTAGTAGCAGTAGTAGCACTCGTCGTAGTCGCAATCGTAGCCGTACCAGTGGTAGCAGCAGCAGGGGCAGCAGGAGGAGGATAGTTGGTAGGCAGGGCGCTCTTGGCGGTGTTCCTGCTGTTCTCAAGCGGTTGAAGCACCATGACCGGCCTGGGCCAAAGAGCTCGCGGCTAAAGAGGAACACAAAAAAGACTTGGAGTCGTATTCCAAATGTCGCAAATCCGAGAGTGCCTCTCTGCAGGATGCCTCCACGGCTAAACCTGCCTCACACAACATGCTCGCGAGCAATCCTAACCCTTCTCGCTGGAGGCATCCTTCCGACGCTTCCCTACGGACATGTGCCAGAAAAGTATCTTCGCAGTGACGGCGGGAGGGTTGAATTCCCAGTTTTCCCACGTAAGGAGTCATCGGGGTTAGAAAACCGCACAAAGACTCTTTCGCCCAGAAAGAGCTGGCGCAAAGCCAAGTACGACTACTCTGCAACACCCTCCAAACCAATTGAGGCCTAGTTAGGGTGCGAAGACGATTGCCTCGTCTCCATGGAAAGCGCCACGGCAGACTCCCATCGCCCGGCAACCTGTTCGCCAGCAGAACCAAAAGGCATACAAACGGAAGTTTTTGTTTTGCTAGCTCGGAAACCCTGAGCCTCTGAAAGTCCTACGACCCTAAACGCCTGAAGCTCTCGGTCTCCTAACACAGCACCTGGTTCATTGCTGCAGTATTGCTGAACTCCCACTTCAGCTTCGCAAGTGAGCTATGCCCCGTTCTTCCAACATCCATCGCTCCCCTCCCACCGTCGGCCTCCATAGCCTCGGCTGGAAGGTCGGGTCAATAATAATAATAATAAATAATCATAATAATAATAATGATAATAATAATGATAATAATAACAATAATAATAATAATAAAAATAATACTAATAATAGGGTCAGGGATTTGGTCTCATGTAGAAATGTAGAAAGACTTGATTGGAGTTTGGATCTTTCGGGCACAGAGAAAGCTTAATTGCCATTCTGGCAGTGGGGGCTGGTTGCTACGAGGATGATAAGACTGCTGCTGCTGCTGCTGATGATGATGATGGTAATAACGGCGGAAATGCTGATTATGACTCAGCTGATCAGAAGCATGACCGTGGCAATGCTCACTGCCACTGTTACGGCGGCGGTGGTGGCGGTGGTGGTGGTGGTGGTGGCGGCGGCGGTGAGGGGAGTGGTTAGAAGTCAATGCTGGGTACTGTTGCTAGCATGTGGTTGCTGTGTGCCTTCTTGCTGTTGGTGAGCTGAGAGTTCCGGTGATACACATTGGAGCAAAGCTCAGTGACATCTTATATTGCTTCTGCCAAAGGGCTTGCAAGTCCACCATGCTGGATCCAACACACCGAGCACCCAAATCGAGCACCCACTGTACATCACTGTATCGTTTCAGGATATAGGTTCAGGACACCACGAAATCTTCCGTGTCCCCGGCAGAGAGCTGGGCATTCTGGGAGATGATGTCTCTTCTCAGACCGCCTCATTCACGGGTGGAAATTGACTTGGTCAGGCCTCTTGTGGAGCGGGATCAAACAACTCCAATTCCAACAAAGGACGGACTAAAAACAGTCGACGCATCTGCTGGATCATCGATCATCGGTTTTAGATCTGGGCCTAGACCAACATCGCTGGAGAATCGTTCTGGTAGAGGGTGCATTGAATACACGGATTCAAGATCCTCAGCGATCCTCAGCACCTTCAACTGCTCTCGAGTCTCTGATCATGATGCAAACTTTGAGTCTCTGAGGCAAACCTGATGCAAGGCAGAGGATTGATTATCGGATGGCTAGCTGGACAGAACAACTGTCACTTGTGTATCCCGCCCTTGAACACGTCCCGAACCCTGAACCTCAGAACCCCTTAACCCTACTTTAACTTTAACAACCTCGGTGCGGAATAGGGTTCAGGGCTGGGGGAAAAGACTTCAGGATTCAGGGTGTAGAGTTTCAGCGAATATGCGTAGTCGAGAAGGAAATACTGGCTGACAAACTGAGCGCGTACCAGGAGAAGCAGTGTATCCGAAGGAAGCTCAAAAGCTGCGCAGCAAACCCACGCTACCACGAACAACTGCAGAATAAATGTATGAAGCGCACACACACACACAGTTTCGTCGACCAGTACCGCAGCCGAGTACAACCGCTACAACTGACTGCTAGTACTCCTGGCATGAAATCCTGGACCTGAAATCCTAAACTACAATCCCTATACACCATTATTAATTATTGAATCCTACAATCCCTATACACCATTATTAAATCCTAAGCTCGGGCAGCCGGGACACGGCCAAATGAACTGGCACAGCTCAGGGCCGAAGTCCAGCGCGAAACCGTGCCGAGGGCCGTCACGAGGACGTTGACCAAGAATATCTGCAGCTTCAGGAGTGCTCCCTAGTGGGGTTATGAGTCCCCTAATATGGGTTCTAAGTATAGTTACCCTACTTATAACCCTACTTAATCCCTCTTGGTGAGCAGGACATGTGCTTGTTGTGTCCCTAGCATCAGACAGCTGACTTGGAACAGGGTTTGTAGTGTGTTGGCCTGAACCGTCTCTTTTTCATGAGGGCCCGGAACAAAGGAGATCGACGATAAAGGAAGAAGACCGTCCGCGAACGCAGTGCAGAACTTCATGCGGATAGGACGTTGCACATGACTCGTGCACGAGCATAAACACAACCTGGCCCGGTGGGCACGCATCGGGTAGGGCCCTCCGTTACAGCCGTAGCCGAGCAAAAGCACGGACTACTTTGAGACGCGGCAGTCAGACAATCGCAGAGACAACGAATTAACTAAGTGGGTCGACTGGAAGAGTGATGGACCCACGGCAGGCAGGCATGAGAGACTATAAGACTCGGATGCAAGACAGATCGCTATACCCGAACCCTAAAATGTGTCAGTACGTTCCTGCGAGGAAACCTCATTCGGGGCATGTGTCCTTGGGTCTCTGATGTGGGATGATTGGATGTTTCTCCGAAAGTCTTGCGGCCCACCCTTGCGGGATCATAAGGCAAAAACACTTCCAACAACAAGATGACATAACAAATGGAGCCCGGCTGGGACAAGAGCTAGAAAGTAGAGTTTCCCACCTTAAACAATCCTAAACCCTAAATCGCGTCATCCTTGTTGTTTGCACCTGTTATCTGGCCTCCTTGATCTGTCTGGCTTGTTGTGTACTATCCCTTTGTCATCGCAGATGGGAAACACTTACGCACCCGTCTGAAACCATGTTGGAGAATTATATAGGGTTCCACAAAGGGGCCATCATTTGACAGCAACCCTATTTGAGGGACCGCCGAAACTACTGAAACGATGATGCAACTGCAGCAGACCTGACCCGGCGAGCCCTGACAGCCACGATTTGCCACCCAATATCAATACTTATGTAAGCCTACAGCAAGCCCCGAACAATCGAAAATTTGACGGAGCATGACTAGTGCTGGCATTCCCTCTAATTCGCTGTCATGGCAGCCGGACAGTGGACTACCAACTGTGTGGGGCTGTAAACCCTAAACCGTATCACGAAAACTGGGGCACGGGCATTTAAGGCGAGGTCCACTTGCGTTCTTGCAAGCGCGACGAAATCCAGGCATCGTCGCCATTCCTGTGGCTCAAGGTTGAAGGTCTAAAGGATTAGGGTTGAGGGGAGTGAGCCCCAGTCATGAGAAGCTCTGATCGAACATCATCGAACCCAATCGATCTCTGTGGTGGCTGCAGCGATGACAGCTCATGCTTTGAAAGTTCTATGCTGATCGCAGTCTCAGTCTCGAACTCGAAAAACGAGACTGAATAGTGTGCTGGGCTAGAAGAGATAGAACCAGCAAGCAAACGGTCGGATGCTGGAACTAGGATGACTTATTCCTTCCTTCCTCACTCTCCAGGCTTGGGACTTGTTCCAAGTTTCGGAATTCAGCTCCAAGGGTCTCGGCATCAGCTGACTGTAGCATCCTGTTTGCCTATCGCCGCGCAGGTCTGACTGCATTCGTGCCGGACAAATCATATCAAACGTCTTTTGCTACCGCAACTAAACCACGAGATTGCGTCGGGGAGCCGCAACATCTACAATTCCAAGAACACGCTGTCTATTCTACACCGCTGAAGTATGCGGAATCCTTCAATGCAGCACCTCGTAAGTGATAAGTTCATACCTGCAATCAAGCGCATGTAACCGAGTCTACACCGTCCCCGCCTTCTTCAATCCTCGAGCCTGAGCCCTGAACCCCAAGGTGCAAGCCTTTTTGCTTCGGGCCCACAACTTACCTTTGGTAGGGAATGGAGGAATGGGGTACAATTATAACTGTTATTACTACCATTCTTCCGTTCCCTACCTAACCAAATGTAAGACAAGAAAAGCAAGAAACCAAGAGGTCGGGAGCAGGGGATACGCAAGCGAACTGTAACGAGCGAGGATCGCTAAATGGGGGTTGCAAAGGCGGTGTGGAAGACGGACTGGGGCGTCAAGGCGGCAGTCTCGTCGGCTCGAGCGTATCGCGTACAGACAATCTATATGTAAAGATGGACTGATAGACTGCTATACCATGTTGTATGCCCATGTTCTACCAAGCTACATTATCGTATATGTACAATACCATGGTTTCAAGTCTATTCTGTTCCCTCCTACACTGTTCTGGTCCTTTGTGTTTCATGCACTGCATGACATGTTGTTCAGACTTGGTAATGGATACCGGCCGCTGGCTTGTTAGATATTGTTGGGTTCAAGGCCCGCGGTCCTGCCCGGCTTTGCAGGCATCCACGAAGGAGGTAACGCTGATGATCTGGAGTGGTGGGATTAGAGTTTAGGGTTTGGGGCTAGGGGGTTGGAAGTTAGAGATCAGGATTCAGGGTTTAGGGGGCACCCAAAGTCAATGCAGCACAACAACTGGATCTTTGTTGAGTGCTGTTACACAGACGAAGAAGTACGGGCGTCTCAAAGGTCGTTGTATGAACACGTAGCAAGGCAACGAAATCGGCTGCGATACGGCATGATAACAAAACAGCACAACAAGCCCTACAACATCGTGAAGAGCAGCACTACCAAGTTGGAGCTTGGCTTTGTGGTCTTCGGAATAGTGCCACGGCTTCTCACTGCATAGCAGAGTCCCAATCGCACAGCTCAAGAGCTATCGCGCTCCGAGACCAGGGCAGATGGAGAAATGCCTCGGCCGGTGCCGACGAAGGCATGCAAAGCGGTTGACCACCGCCCCACCTGCATCAGGATTCAAACGGAATCTCAGACTTTTCTAGCTTGGCCACTGACATGACGACGTGCATACATAGGATTCAATCTGGTTTTCTGCTTGTCAGCGAGGTCGAAGCTGAATTTCTCATTATGATTATTCTTCATGATTTGAAGTTCATGATGGCGGTAAATGAGATCTTTCTTTTGTAGCAGCTCGTACAGACTACCACTGTTCGGGTGATGGTTACCACGACATTGCATGATGTTCATGGTCATTTATTCTCATACAACGAGTACGTCTATATCGCTTGTACCACTATCATGATTATTCGGATGATTGCCCGCATGCTTTATTTATGTTTGAGGACTGAAGCCCATGATCCCTGCGAGATCACCATCGTTCGGTGCAGCATACGAGGCTGATGCGGCACTGCCTCAGCAGCCACAAAGGCTGCAGAATCCAGCAGCTGATAGGCAAAAGCTGAAACGGCTTGTGTAGTTGCGCACGGGCTCTATGGGGACACTACATAAGTTCCAACCTGGAAAAAGCCTGAGAGAGGAACATAAGCCTCCAACAGCTCGTGCCCAAAGCCCTTCCCCGTGAGTCCTAACCCTAAACCCCTTGTCAAATCCTCCTGTCCTTCCTTGGGCCCGCCTCGCCCCAGGCGGCGATAGCCATGTTGGCAGAGACCTCCGATGGAGGGAGCGACGAGGTGCGAAGTTTGGGATGATCTAACAATATGGGGGGGCCTTAATCTTACGACTGGGGCCATGGAAAGGCGTATAGTACATCAACATGAATCATCACTATCGGGAGTACAAGCCGATGGAATCGCCCATTTTGCGACGAGTCAGCGGGATCCCATGCGACTACTCAGATCTTTTGGTGGAAGATCGAGTTTGTGGATGTTGAGAATATCTCGACCCCCGAGAGTCTGTCCAACTCAGCAATCACTCGTACTTGAAATCACATTCAATACCCCCCATGCCCCCCACCACCCATCCCTCCCTATCGCAAATCCTTTCAACTGCGCCCGCAAACTAGCCTCCACCCTCACACGGAGAACGTCCGCAACTAGCTGGACGTGTAGAAACCCACTCAAGCCGCGAAGTTGGAGGATGCACTTCCCATTTCCCTGCATCCCATACATTGGGTAAAACCCATCTTCCAACTTTTGACTCTAACCTCGAAACCTTCCGACGCAAAACATTGGGGCCTCAGGGTTGATTCTTGTCTGGACAGGGTTCAGGAGAGCATGCCCAGCCGAAACCAGAGCTGGAGACAAAGTTGGAAGATGCCGTTGCTACATAACCGTTCCAACTGCCGCCTCCCAACTTTTCAACTGCTACCAGTACTTACTTGAAACCTCAACCATGAAATCTACGCCTAACCTCTAAACCCTAAACTCTACACCCCCAGCCCACCCTGACTTGGAAACTCTGGGAGTCCACGCCACATCGGCGGGAGCCCCCAGCAGCCGGCGCCGAAACTGGAAAGCCAAAGCTGACCTCCAGCTCCTGGTCCTGGTGCACATCATGCTAGTGGTGCGGGTAGTTTCAGGGTTTTAAGGCTTCGGTTTTTGGCTCGAGGATTAGGTTCGGGGCCTGGGGCTTATAGGGTTTATGGCGCAGCTGCGGGGATGGAGCATTTGGCAGCTAAGATCATTTGCGTGCATCAGGACGCCGTCTTTTGCGAGCCGTCCGGCTGCAGGCTGCAGGTGTTCAATGGAGACGATGTGTTGCCACGCTGAAAGATTTCAGCTTTGCCTTGCAGTTAGTACCAGCACGTCTTTCTTTATCTCCCGACACAAGCGAACACAACAAGAAACAAACGCAGACATACACACACACACACACGACAAACAACAACAAAAACGTGAAACTGCGAGCAAAGCAAACACCCACTGACACACACACACACACACAAACACACACACACACAAACAAACAAACGAACAAACGAACAAACAAACAAACAAAACACAAACAAACACACAAACAAACAAACAAACACACAAACAGGCAAGCAAGCAAGCAAGCAAGCAAACAAACAAACAACAGCAACAGAAACGACAGCAACAGCAACAGCAACAGCAAGCAAGCAAACAAATCGCAACACACCGCAAACAAAGGTACAACCAATCAAACAAACAAACCAACAAACCTGTGAAAACAAACAAACAAACCGCAAACAAATTGACAATCGGTCAGTCAAACAAACAAACAAACAACCAAAAAACAAACAAATGAACCGAAACACACACTGACAAAAAAACATGCAAGCCAGCAATGAAGCAAACAAACACACGCACACACACACAAACAAACAAACAAACACACAGACAGCTAGACTGACAGACAGATGAACAAACAGCCACACGGCAAACGACAAACAGACAGACGAACCAACAACCACACACGCACAGACTTGGAACGATCCTCGACGCAGCCGAAGCTTTTCATGGGTTTCTCTCATACTTTCACCGCATTTTAGAGTGCATCGCTCGGGCGGCTCATACAGTTCAACTGTTCGACTTGCCAAGTTATAGCTTGGCGCGGTTTCCATCTCGGACTGCGTGCATCGAGCTGGCCACGCTGTGCTTCCCATGAGATCAGGCAGCTCCATTAGAAGTAGCCCCTAATCTTACGCCACGTCCCCGTGCTTTTCAATGGTGCAGAATGACACACACACACACACACACTTTCTTTGGCACATGCTCACACGCCGCAATATACATACCTACATACATACATCATACTGTACCCACACACACACACACACCTCCACATCCACACCAAAACGTACACGCGCACATGCGCACGCACACGCTCGTGCACTGCCACACACACCCACAGAAGCGGCAGCTGGATGAGGCATGCAGCAGTGCGCAGAATGGTATTCAATACTCTGCCATCCGAAGAGGTTCACGTGCCGAGAAGAGCAATATCCCTCTAGACTCCTGTTCTTAATTCAGTCTACTCTTCGAAGTAGACGAGTTGCTTCTTCTCTCGCTTAGTTGAGCATCTTGCCTTGCCTCAACACAGCAGCACTCGCCGTGTTGAAAGACACGACGTCCAGTTGTAAAGACCGGGCCTCAAGCTCGTTACACTTCTCGTTGGTCTGACGGCCAGTTGTGGAGTTTTGTCTTGCATGACCAAGAGCATTCGGATTCCACACACTCCGTCGCGTTTTGCAGTTTCGGTTCCCCGTGACAACATTCCAGGCCTTCTGCAGGCTATGTTGTGTGATGCATAGAAAAACTGCTCGAAGCGCGCCATGATCTATGCTTGGAAGTTTCTCGGGGCTCCAGCACAAAGGGCCTGGAAGGCCTGAAAAAAAGGACCTATCTCTCCGATGTTCAACTAGAGAGTGTTCAATCTGCTTGGGCTGTTCTACGATGTTGTCTAAGCGGGACAGCTCCGGTCCATGGCTTCTCTGCAACAATAGGTTTTAATTTGGCGATCGAAATTGTCATCCTCCCCGGTCCTCCCCAAGCCATGCGTACTCCATGAGACAGATATCAACGTGCGTAGCAAGACCCTCCCTACGCGTAGTCCCTGTTTGTAAGGAACCCCCTCCAAACCCCAAACCCGGCCTGAGCCCCAAAGAGTTCGCCAAACAGCTGAGGCAGACACAGAGGCTTCGTCTAGCAGCCAGGCAGCCTCCGAGAGGCAAAGTTTTACACAAAACAGAGATATATTGTACATATGTATATATGTGTATATATATATATATATCTTATATGCACAAAAACTAGAGAGATAGATAGATAGATAGATAGGAATAAATGAACATGCATGTCAACTTCTTCTCTTGGAACCACAACTATCGACCATAGTTGAAATTAGTGATGATCATGATTAAACTTTCATTAACGTTGCAATGATCGACCTCCAGTAGGTACTACATGTAAACTCCCTGTGCGCAGTAGCAATGGAGATGTTGAGGGTGAGAACTCTGCATTGATCTACAATGATTTGAGGTGGTTAAAACAAAGCTGCACGTGTCAACAAATCCCAATAGGGCCCAAATTGGCTCCTGAACGGTCCCATCCTAACTATAGTCTCCACTGCAGTTCCATAGTTTTGGTTCAACCGTTTAACAAGGCATATATTTAGGATCCTACAAGGTAACCAAATATGATATATGAATTACACTGGAGAGGTAAGCTTTTAACGGTGGCCTGCGCGCCGTGCGAAGCCCGGCCCAGCGTGGCCACTCCCGCATTGAAAACGAAGATGTCCGGCGCGGTTTCTGCAGGAAGTGCACGTAAGCACGGTTCCCTCTTAAAGATCATATGGGGTCCAGATCGAAATGGTTTTGGGGTGCATGATGCATTTCATGATGCTAAAACATGAGTAATCACTCGGCTAAGTGGGCCTGGTAGACCGTCGTTCGTTGTGCTGCGAGGGGCCGAAACCGGAATAGTCACGGCGGATGCTGCTTTCGAACGGTCCAACAGGTGCAGGCCATCGATGCTACTGACGAGCATACAATCCAAGTGCACCTTCAGCAGACTAAGCCTTAATGAGGAGGGGTTTGTCTGTCCTAATACCTTGCACTCCCCCTGTCTAAATGCATCAGCCCAACAAACGCCTTTGCGGTGTAGAGCTGTTAAGGCTATAGGGTCTACATGTTATGGTAGGGCCTATCTATGCTTGATTTGGGACAAGGGGTCAGTCTGCATCCTGTGTGCATCTTTGGCCGTCTTGTGCCTTCCAGGACGAGCTGCAGCGCGCGCTGCCATTTCAATGCCCGACCGAGGGCAGTGATACCGTCGGTTCTGCGCCCAGGTGAGGCTTCTGAGGGATGTTAATATTGACGCGGGAACCCAAACACTAAACCTCTAAACACCGGAACCCTTATTATAAACCCTAAACCTCCAAGCCCCTCAACCCTACGCCCTGCACCGCCTGAAAGAAGGAGCCCTGAAGATGCTCGCTCCTCCCTCGGCCGCAATCCACAAACCAAGCTCAGCTAGGTTAAGGGTTTAGGATTTAATATTAAACTGTAAGCGCTGAACCTAAATCCAAAACCCCGTATACTGAACACTAAGCCTCATACAAACAGTTTGACGTGCAGCCCTCTTGTCTTTATCCGCTAGTACACACGGCTGATAGTTTGAGGGTTCGGATAGTAGTGTGCAAATCTACGGCTGCTTTTACAGGCTTTGGTTCTGTGTTGCATCATTTGCTGTCCCGGAAAGGTGGGTCTTCGGTGTTGCGACACTAGATCAACAATCCAGGTCAATGTCAAATCCCAAGCACCATAAGACAACTCTGAACAATGATCGGGCATGATCATACATGGGAGCTACCTGCGAGACTCAACTTAATGAAGCGGTGCCTTTCGAGTGGAATAACGGCGACATTATTGATAAGAACCTCGTCACAGCATGCTGATAATTCCTTGATGAGCTCGCGCAACATCTCTTCGAAGAGGCTTCATGCTAACAAGGTCGCAAAGAGGATGCAGTTGAGCAGTAGATACCAAGCCTTCTCTTCAAGCGCAGACGCTCGTCGACAGGAGCGCCTGTGCAGTGGCCATGGGACAGGATTCTGCAGAACCCGGACAGCAATTCCAATCCAGACTGTTTTGATGCCATGGGTCGTGCCAAAACGCTAGCATTGAAAATTCTGATCTTCTTTAACTTAGGCCGGCAGCGCAGTGGACGCACTCCAATGGTGCTGGGGCTTCAGCTTTTCAAACCTCTGGCGATGTTCTGAACTCTGCATACGTGCGTACATACATGCATACAAGCAGACTCTTTGCGTCTCTCTGTCGCCCTCTCGCTGTCTGTCTGCCCCTTCGTCTGCCTGCTTGGCTGGCTGTCTGTCTCTACTGTCTCTATGAAAATACGTCAATAGATAGGCTACTAAACATCCTTCCTGGCTAGTTCGCATGATTTCAGACAGAGCCGCTTGTGCTGCAAACTCTACTGTAATGCTCACGGCCAAGCTTCGAGGCTTCTGCCTGTCCTCCAATCCGATGAGTCTTATGTGATGCAGAAGCACGAGCTCCTTGCCAAGCCAGCTGCTCTCTTTACATCCCAACTCACCCCAAGACCCTTGTAGCCTTGCGCGCTGCCGCGGCCCATGGGGGCACGGGGGCGACGAGCTCATGGGCACGACAACCCATCAGGTGGGTGAACGGACTTCGGGGTCAATGCTGAAGCACTCGAATGCGTAGGCCGATGTGGCTATTGATGATCAGGCTGGGATTCTGCTGACCAGACGGCCGGTTCCGGACTGCAGCTTTGACCTAACAGCTGGACAGCCGGGTTTGGAGTGTTTGGGCTTGTGCTTCGGGGTTTGTGTTTGCAGTGCGGAGGGATGGACATGAGCCAACAGGAGCTCTCAAGACCACTGCAGACGTCAGAGCGTCAGTCATGTCTAAACCAGTCTCAAACCCTGAGTCGCTTCCCGTTTGAACGCGTGAGCCCTCAATCAACCAAACCATGGCACAGTCGCAGGATGTCGCAGGATGGTTGCAAGCTTCGCTGCAGAGAGGCTTTCATGTCTTCAATGGTGCCTCCTGGGGTGAGACCGGCTCTCGGGTGAGACGGAAGTCCGAAGTGCAAGTGCAATGCCCGAAACGCGTCTTCACATCTTGGTCGCACTTGTTGAAGTTTAAGGTCGGGTCGGATGGTTGGGGTGGATAGCTATGCTGCGGCATTTCATGCCCTCACCGTATCTGCTCCTGCCAGTGACGTCACCTTGACAGACGGATCAAAACAAGACAAGCTTTCTAGGTTCTAGCCATCGCAATGTGACATTTTTGGCGCAGCATACTTGCCTGGGGCTCCCTTCACCCCCGCAACCTTTGCTCTTGTCTGCACCACTGAAATGGTGACATGATGAATCAACCGGTCCACAGCCACAGCTTTGGTGTCCAAAATGATGCCACTCGACTCGATGGGTGGGCAGACTAACAGATACTCGAGCTTCAGGCTGAAGAGGCTTGAAGCTTAGATCACCCCAAGCCCAAGCACTGAACCCATCACTACCTTGGCTTTACATAGTGCACGGAGTCGGCTTCCTCACCGGGGGCCTTTAGAATTAAAGCGGGATTTTGGGACAAAGTAAAAAGTGCTAGCAAGTAAACGTCAGGAATGTTACCGAATGAGACCCCCACGCTCAATATGAGCATGCAATCCTGCTCTAGGCTCCCGGCACAAGACTGGCTCAACGCCTATGCAGAGACAGGGCCATAGAGCATTCAGACGTGAAACACAAAATCTCAGATGCGATGCATACAGTACATAGTTAACATAACCTGAATGTAACACCACCAGATCTACCTTAAAACCCGCTGGTGAGAGATGGGACACTTCAGGACTTCCGATCGCGCTCGCGCCGGAAACTAAAATGTCATTGCATCTTGCCGACCCTGCTAGAGTGCTCTGGAAGGTTATCCCACCACCAGCTGAAAGTTCGAGCCGTCACCCCAAAGAGCGTCACACTTACCCGAATGATTGCGTGAGAACATGGAGAGCATGTGCACCTTAAACACGCACGGTATGTTCCTTTCAGCTATGACTCACACACTGTATAGTTCTTTCTGTACGCTTAGTCTTCTTCGTTGCACCCACGCTTATTGAAGAAAACGTCCTGCTGGAGGCTCACAGCACAATGGAGTGTTACGCCTTTGGCTTCAAGACTGAAACTTGCAGTTGAGCTTCGATTTGCCACTATACGATGCTAGAAGCCTCTCCAAGGCAGCCATTCCAGGGCCGCTGCTGCGAGCCCCTTCCCTGAACCCTATACCCTAAACCCTCAAGCCTACACCCCTTAAGCCCTATACCCCTAAACCCTATACCCTACACCCTAAACCCTAAACCGTCAACCCTACACCCCTTATGCCCTAAACCCCACACCCCATGGCACAAGGAAGAGCCCCTGCCTCGAGCAGCTGCAGCGCCTCTGAGAGGTCCAAGACTAAATAAGAGAGCTCTTCATGGAAAGAGCCCCCCTAATAACGAAAAGAAGCACTGATTCTACGAAACATGGTCATAAGAACGGCTTCTTCTTCATCAACAACATCATCGTCATCATCGAAGCATAAAAAAATTACAGCATATTGTCTAAACCAATCTTAAATACGAGCAAACAATGGACTACATTCGCACGGGAATCAGTTCTTCTGCAGAAGCTCGAAGCACCTGCATGCATTTGCTTTATCCAGTATTGGCACCACTATTATCTTCGTGATCCTGGCCACCCTCATCTTTATTCATGCATATACAGCTACACCTGCAACAGGGTCTAGGCTTCGGGGCTTAGCCACGATGGGTATTGGATTGGGTTTTGACCATTGAGGATCCAGACTTCAGACATCGGCTGGGGACAGAGATTCTTTGCAATCACTGGGACTCTCTGCCGCTGTGAATACTAGCAGCAGCAACTTCGTCGCTGGCAGCTTCTGCCAAGGCCGAGTCTGGGATGAAGCGCCCGGAAGGTCCAGCAGTACGCCTTTATTCGAGGCCTTAAACACTGAAGCTGATCGGCTAGACCCCGCAATTAATCCCTAAAGTTCTCCCCCCGCAACCACGACCTTCATCCGATATCCGCAGAAACCGCTTCCCTCGTCCCGATCACCAGGGCTTTCATCTGGATTTTGGGGCTAAGACACGACCACCGCTACAGCTATTCTCATTACGAACTTCTGGTATTGCCATTCATTATCGTGTCATTATCATCGCAGCTACTACTACTTCTCACTTAGTCTTATCGTTACTCCTCCTAAAAACTCATAATATGGCCTGAAGATCCCCGGCCTGTGAGTGTCGATGCTCTGCGGAGCTGCCCTCGATGGCCGCAGCCCTGACGTGAGCACCTTCCCCACCGGCCGCCCCCGCCTATGCACACTCGGAAGGCATGTGCATATACAGATAAATAGGTATGCAGACACACATATTGCAAGATATGTTTACATACGTATATATTGATACATATATTATCCAAACATTTATGTATCTCTCTCTCTCTCGCCCTCTCTCTCTCTCTCTCTGTTTCTCCTTCTCTCCATCTGGGAAGCTTCTGAAGTAGCAATTAGTAGGCCTTTTTCACATATACAGACATGTAGATACGCATGCGTAGACAAATCGAAGGTGTCATTTGCAATGTCAACGCATGACTGCCACAGTAAGAAGCAAATCCAGCGAGCTGAAAATTCGGAAACATGTTGACCTGTTGAGTCTCTACGACGCTGCCTCCCCTTCGACATTACATATCTTCACTGGCTTCTGCATCAGTCTTTGAAGCTTCAGCTCCGTCAAATTACACTCGTGCGCAGACCAACATGGGGGCATTCCAACGAATGGAGAAGTACCTAGCATGCTTCTGCAGCACTTCTGCTTCTGCAATCTGCTCTGAGGCGCACAATCTCAAACTGTGAACACTGAAAGCCCACAACATATCTGTGCATCCGCACGATCCAGACTCAAACATGCCGGCGACCGGTGGATTGTGATTTCCCATGTAACAGTGCTGTGGCAGTGCAGTTGTGTGCACTGAGTGTCGTCATTACCAGACTAGATTCCCATGGCCGGGTTGGCGAACAAACTCCGAGAAAATGATGCCTGGCCTGGATCTTGTTGCGATGCCTCCATGGTAGCCAGCCAATGCAGGGACAGCTCCCAAAGGCCACCTGCTGGAATAGATGAACTTTGGTGTATCTATGATGTACGCGGCACGGATGGGGTTAGGAAGCTGGGTGCGGAACTGGTAGCATGGTTGATAGTTGATCGACTTGGTCGTCATAGTGGCAGTCGTAGAGTCGCAGAAAAGTCGTAGTAGTCGCAGTCGTAGCAGCAGTTGTAATAGCAGCAGGAGGAGTAGTAGTAGTAGTAGTAGTAGTAGTAGTAGTAGTAGTAGTAGGAGTAGGAGTAGGAGTAGGAGTAGGAGTAGGAGTAGGAGTAGGAGTAGGAGTAGTCGTCGCAGTGGTAGTAGTGGTAGTGGCAGTGGTAGTGGTAGCGTATCGGTCATTGTAGTTGTTGTTCTAGTACACTCCGCTCACCTGAGCCGGTGCTGCAAACCCATTGCTCTTAGGGCGGAAAGCAAGCATGATACTCGTAAGACTGCACAAATAACCGAACCTCCACTACCTACTCAGAATCAGGACGGGGCTGCAGGAACAACTCATTGTTGGTTTGGAGATTGGCTTGTGTGCAGCATCAGGCCTCGCTGACATGCCAGGGATACCTCATGCAAATGTCTTTTGGCTTTCAGTTGACCCTAATTTGAGTAGGCCCCACACCAAAGAGAACATTGCATCGCCTAGCATTCAGGATCGCTTTCTGGATCGAGGTTCGCTCCCGTGAAGACAGTGCGGGTGTGGGTTAGGTATCCTTTTAGGATGCCCCTAGCCACTCCCTCTCTGAGACAAGACATGTAGAAACTCCGAAATCGCAAAAGGCTGGACCTGGCCAGGCCCTGATCATGCAGCATCTCAGTCGGCGGCCAAACGCTGTATCATGAGATCCTGCTTCAAGTCGCCTTGCTCCTGGCATGCTGTACCAAAACTTGCAAAGTTGCCCGAGGCACGGCAGCTTTGACAACATCAACGCAAGCGGAATGCACATGCTTTTGCATTTTATCCGGAACGTGTGCCCGCATTTGCCCCATCTCATCATCTATGCGTCACCTCAGAACAACAAGCCACACATGGCTCGTACTGAACGTCACAACATGAAGTGTTTCACCTAGGTGTGGGAGCTGAGACGGCATGGCATCCTTCACCAGACACAGGATCTGCTGCCACTGCCCCGCGCGTTCCATCGAAGCGGCCTTATTACGAACAGCAAAGGCTTACATGAGTACTATCGTGGCCTAAGCGACAGTAAACTAGGGCTGCCTGGTATATGCTACATAGTTCTGATCAGGAGTCGTAGTACCGTAGGGAACTGTACTGGTAGTGATATAGGAGGGCCAACAGTGGGTCTGAAGACGTGTTTCTTGCGGCCTTAAGGTTTCAGGGTTTGCGAATCTGGGTCAAAGGCCGCTTCTCACCATGATGTCATGTTTGGGAATGTCGCAGGTTCTCAAGCTCCAATCTTACGGTCCCGAATCCGGCCTTCCCCATACCACAGGTCCCAAAACATTCAAACCAATGCAACGGGACAAGAGCCAGGCAAGCGCGATAAAGGTGTTAACATCCGGCTCCAAGCCCATCTCCTTCGGGGGTGGCGACTTCACACTGTGTCAACAATGCTGTGATTCACGTATCATCCCGAAACGACAGTCTCAGAAGCTAGCCCACCCGAGCCTTCAACATTACAAGAACGAGACATGCTTATTCCCAACATCCCCCTCTGCAAATCTAAGAAAGCACCTGATGGAATAAAAACGGGATGGTTACAATGGGATGCACTGCAGCATACTTGGTGGGACGACTCAAAGGAGAATAGCCGTCTTAATACCTGATACTCCACACCGAGGGTGAGGAAAGATCAGGTCTGAAAGAAACTTGCTTTGTCGATGCTATAGCAGGATGGTTGTCAGGCTCCAAACCCAAATCCGAAGCCCCCTGAGCTGGCAATCTTCGGGATCTAGATCTTCGGTGTCGCGGGGACTGTCCTCCCTCGACACCTCCCCACAGATTGTAACACAGTTCTCATTAATTTCAAGAAGACCTTCATTACCTTTTGCCCGGCAGAGTGCAGCCGAGTGCAACAGCGAACATGCTCAAACTTGTTCGTTTTCAAATCCCAAATAGCCGTAACACATACGCTCCGCGAGCTCCCCCTTGGGTTTGGGAAGGGGGGTAATTTGGGGATAGCTCAAGTCGATGCGAGCAACAGGATGCAGGCTGTGGGGTAGGTGTCAGCAGCTTTGCGACTGGCCTTCATGAGAGATGCCAGTTGGGTCGCCTCGCACCATCTGTCTTCCTGGCGATGCTGAGCTGCCAGATACGGCATGTTTAGGGTTTAGTGCGGAGCTGTTGTGCAAATTTGCACCAATGCTCATTTCCGACCGTCACGACTGATGTCAAGATCCCTGAGAGGACCCTGCCTTTTTGCAGGCGTTGATGGCAGCGTTGAAGGCCATAATGTCCGGTAGCCTCCCGGTGAAGATCAGGGCCCCGGTGGCGCGGTCCATGCTTGCTAGAACCAGTTGAAACGGCAGTGCGACATGATAGGTGTAATCCTAAAACCTTTGGAGACCCTAAACCCCTAAACCAAACTTGGGGTACAGTATACTTCAACTGAGCTTTCGCCTCCGGAAGCCACCACACAAAGGGTGGACATGGACAAACCCCAATAACACTAAACCCTCAACCTCCGAAGCAGGAAACCACAATTGAATGCGGAAAGCAGAGCGCAAGATTGACCGACCCTACACCCTACTCAACCTCAACTGTCTTAGCCCGGACGGACTCGACGGATTACTGGAGCCCGACAAACCGACACCAGAGCACCCTGAACCCCGAACTCACAACCCACTAAGCCAGGGACTGTGCAGACCGCAGGAGTTCAGCGAAAAGCCCGATGGCACGTTGCCACTGAAGGCCCTCTCATGAAACTGGTTTGAGGTCATGTCAGTTGATTCAGCTTTCGGGTCGGGTGGTTTATGGGGTTCGTGGCTACGAGACATGCCAAAATGAGCAAGGCCGGCCGCTGCTTAGGAGAACTAATCACGGACCATACACATAGAAATAGAACATAGACTTACATCAGCGATAAGATGTGTTGTCATCAGCAAGACACCCATTATTGAACTTCTACAAAACGCTTTTCTCACAAACTCACGAGAATATGATCAAGCAGCCAAGCAAGCGTGTTTTCCTGAACAGAGTCTAGACTCAAGGCCACAAGTGTTGTAGCTCAGAGGCCTAAACTCCCTAAACACCCTGGTATAGTCCCAGCCCACAAGGACAAGATCAAGATGCTAAATCTTCATCCGTGCCCGCCCTGAATTCGATGTTCGGAGGCCTGAAAAAAGCTTTGCCAACGCCCCCTGCTTAAGGGCCTAGGGCGCTCGCCCTCTGAATAAGGGCTCAGGGCGTTTGGCTTGCTAACAGCACTTCACCAAGAGCCGGATCAAAGTCTCTCAAGCAAGCGTAACCAACCCATCGAAGGTTAGAATCAGGTTTTGGGCTGTTTTGCAGTAGCCTTGTGCATACATTGCATGTTAATACCAAAATATTTCGATCCCTATAATCAAATGCATCTCAGCGACAACTGACTTCCCGTCAAAAGCCAATCGTAAGAAGAGCCGACTAGATCTGAACATCGGCGGACTCTGTGTACTCTAGGAGCCTGAATTCCTTGGGGGTTCTCCACTAGGTATACTTACACCACAAGACCCCAAAACTCTATTCTGATTAGGAGTGACATCTTGGTGTGGCAATGTGCTGCCTTTCAGTATAATTCTCGCAGTTCGGACCCTTGAATTAAGCATTACCACTTGCTGTCATCTTGCCAAACGGATTCTGCTTGAATTATCATTTATGTTGATGCCAGTAATTGCTGGTTTTGTTGATGTCTTTTTGTCCCAGCCCTTGTTAAAGTCACGAAACAACTTTGTAACTTCGTACAAGGCTAGCTGGTGCTTTGCCAGTAGGAGCAGGCCTTGCTTTCTGCAGCAGTGCTGCGAAAGGAACCACCCTCTCCGCTCAACTCAACCGTCTCCCTGGTCTAAAACGCATTCTGCTCGAAATCTTGACCCAAAGCCCACGCCCTCAACTTCAAGTCCTAAACGCGGCAGCCTTCTCACAAGCACTGATGCCGGCGCTGTAGGTGACAACCTGGAGTCCAATCTAAAGGTTTCGAGGCATAACATGTACATGTGAACACGATCTATTCATCTGGGCAGCTTTCTGCACGAATGTTTGCTTGAGCGGTCTCCCTCTGGCGCTCTCGCTGTCTTCCTCTCTTTGTGCATATATATATATACATCCATAAATAAACGAACTTGAATAAATAAACAAATTTGTATATATATATATATATATATATGCATAGCGCTTGCACTAGGTTTACCTGCATGCCGTACTTACCTACGTACCACAGCGATGGGATAGGCATTGCAGAAAGATGCAGACACAAAAAGTTTCTCAGATAGATGCCACACTTGGAACATCACCTGTCTCCATGCCCGTGAGGAAGAATCCCAAACACATCTCCCAACTTTCTGGAGTGGGCCGTGAAGCTTTAGGCAAGGGTTCCACTACATGAGTTTGATCGAAGTTGGCTAGAAAAGCATGTTAATATGAGGGCCTGAATAACTAGAAAAACGTGCCGGTGTCGGGATGTAGTATGATGTGATCTTGTTGAGCAACCCAAGAGTAATATTGGCAATCGTTTAAGCCCCTATATCATGTTGACTCTCACAAAAATTCACAGGTTGCTCGGAATGAACTTAGAAAACTCGGAGGCTCCGTGGCATTGCCATAACTTAGGGGCCGTGACACCTAGAAGAGGGCTTGGGAGAATTTATACTATAACATAAGCATACAGCGCCACGTAAAATCGAGAACTCCTCAACCATCCCCTCCCCCATCTAGTCACGCAACAACAATACCTTTACACTTTACACATGCCTTCCTGTACCGAAGTCATAAGCCCGCAACTCCAGAGGTCCAGAACATCCTCACCCGCTTTCTCGGACGGACCCCGTCCAAGCACGCCGAGCCCCGTGCATCCAGCTCCACTTGTATCTGCGACATTTCCTCATGGAGTCAGAGAGAGATTCCCTGTAGGTAGCGTTGGAAAACAACTTAACAGCCCCTTAACACCTGCGACGGGAGTCGCTAGTCAATGAACTGCGAAGTCCACGCAGAGACCGCAGACATGCAACTTAATGTAAGAGCATTAAAAACATATCGCGAATAATGTTAGAACAGGCTTCGGTGGATAACAGTGCAGCCTCATGAAGGAACTTAACGAAGATTCGTTAGGCCCCTATATGACGAACGACCGACCTGCTGCTGCATTGCTGCATTACGGACGTAAAGCTCAGCGTCAGCAACCAAGCGAGCAAAGGTCGTTGGCCTCTCAATCCTGTAGCACAGCCCTGCCTGAAACCAGCCAACACGCTCATCGATGCTTGTCGACGGACATCTAGCCACACATCGCATATACATATACACAGACATAATCAGACATACATATCGTGAGTTGTTGATGTGACGTTTGCCGGAAGACCTGTATATCTACATTATTATATATAACAGTATAACTATGCATATCTGCCTGCATTTCTGAATTTGTGTATATCTTTAAGTCTATATACTTACCTACATATCTCTCTCTATATGTGTATATATATATAAGACCTCTCTATTTACCTACATGACTTTATACATCTCTGTATATCCTGTATTTCTGCACATTTGTACCTCTATATACCTGTGCATCTATGCATGTATGGAAGCTTTTACAATTACATAAGATGTACATGTGCATATCTACAAATATACGTACACACTCATACACATGTACATTCCTCTGCCATTTTTGTTTCTTGATATGTAAGAAAAACAAAGAGTTGAGCCGGATCGGCCGATCTTTGCAGAGTCATCTCAGCAACCGAAGATTTCATCACAAAATCCCAGGCCGAAAACGGGCCGAAAACCCTTTAGCACCCTAAAAAATAGCCTACAACACTCCGCAGAACAACAAATAACGGGCCCTGTGTAACCTGAAACTACGACATCGGCTGGGTGTCGAAGATCAGGGCCAATGCCGTCTGCCACTGCTTGCCCTGGCAGTAGAATGGCTGTAACAACTAAAATACAGTTCCCTTAGGGTTCTTGAATTGCGCGAAGATGTGGGTAGTTTCAAGCTTCGATCGCAGGATCGTCCCAGGGTGTATCTAGCCAAGGAAGCATGACAAGCCTCATTGTGGTGGGCAGGCAGGTGCTTAGCGGAAACCGTGCTTTACGATTTTGCCGGGCCAGTTTATCTCACTCTTAGCCAAGGGTGCGAAGAGTTCCAAGGGTGCACCTGCAACGACAAGTCACTCGACTTCTGTGTATAACTCATTTCGGATCCTCCCATCTTGACTTTCACGGGTTCTTATCCTATGACTTTGTCATTGTCATTATTAGTGTTATTCTGATTGTCACCATTTTTGCTACCAATATAGCTGAAAATTCTGTTGCCTTTGTTAGTGCTATGCATGTACTTACTTTGTATCTTACTGAGCCACCGAACCCAAACAAAAGAGCTGCTGCCGAGCTCAAAGAACGCTCGAATCAAGCGTACAAGTAGGTGCATAAAACCTCGATCAAAACCACATTGCTGGCGGTGTCAATGATCCGGGGCACTCGCTCAGGGATGCTCAGGGACCTTCTTAGTCCAGTCCAGGTTCGATACTTGATTTAATTCAGATTTAAGGATCAGACTTGTGAAGAGGGTCTTCATCGCAACATCTCTCACCAGGAAATCTTCCAAAGTTGAACAAATTCAACACGCGACAGCGAACCGAAGAGCTTCACCCAAACACACAGGCCTAAAGAAGCATTACCCATTCCCCTTTCTAGTGCCCTTACAAATACTTGATCCACAAAACCCACAATGTAGAAGTGTTGCAATATGTCATACAGCCCAAAAGCTTACTCTGATTATTCAGGGCACAGACTCAGACTCCGCAAAAAGTCTTGGAAGAACGGGCTTAGGGAATTTAGAGTTTATAAGGATGTAGGGTTGAAGGGTTCTAGGGTAGAAGGTTCAACTCGAAACTCACAGCTCTATTGGAACACTGAAGGTATGAGGGTTGCCGCAAAGGGTTTACATCGCGAAATAGGGTTTGGGGGCATGTCATAGTATGTCGTGACCGCCGGAAAATGGTTGCAGCTAAGTACTTATACTTCTATAGTGGCTCCTGCCAACAAAAGTTCCACGAAGTTGATGATCCTGCGGACCGTTTCCATTCCTTGAGCTATCCTTGAGATAGCAGGATGCTAGCTTGCGTAGAAATCTTGGGTGTGAGTGAATTACATGCCCAACGAATGTGCGTTCAAACGCACCCTGTGATGACCCCTGCAGTATACGAAACCTGGTTTTGCCAGACTTGTGCTTCCAGCTAACCTCCTGAAATATCAGATGCCTCGGCCCGCTCTAATGTCATCGGGTAAGACAAGGCGCGGTGGTCAAAGCTGCGACCACGTTAGGGGAAGGAGCAGGAATAGGAGGGGGAGAAACCACAAATGTAATTATCTACTGCTTTGCGCTCCAGAGAAGCCTTCATGACAAAGCCCATCCTTCTCTCCGACACCATATTGCATCAAGCCGCGCGGAAGATTCAAGCGTCAAGCGGGATGAGAACATTATTTTTTGCCTTCTTGAGCAAGTTTATGACTGCCGTGAGTGAGCGACACTGTACTATAGGTTGTTGTCTCTGTTCGCACTGGCCTCCTTCATTCCTGAAATCGCTCAATGGCTGTTTCCATCTCTATCTCTGTATTAGTGTGCGGTTCCTACGCTCTCAGGCTCTGCTGTGTCTGTATGCTTCTCTAGATCATTCAGCTACCCTCTCTCTGCGGCCTGTTCTGGTTGAAGCGCAATCAAATTCAATCCGAACCTTTCACCATCATCCCACACTTTATGCTTGTGCCTGCCATCTTAGCTTAGGCTGTATAAACTGCTGACCTCCTGGGACTAAGGGCTCAAGTTGTTCAAGCATATTACATACAAACCTCTCAAGCCTAAGCCCTTCTTGTCGTAGTCATGGAGCCGGGCTTTGGGCTCCAAGTAACTCTGAAGGTCCCCGAACCTTCTCTGGCCATCACGGCTGGGCCCTGAAAGAAGCTTTCGTGAAGTTGTAAAAAAGGGCATGGGGATACAATTGTACAGGTTGTCCAGAACAGATATTTTGCGGGATGCGCATCATTCTTGTCGCCTTCTCGCATGCCGAGATGGCTGCGTTGAAGGCTGCCGTGTTGGGGCATTGTACGGATGACCTGGAAAGGAAGAAACAAGAAACATACAGTCCAAGTGTTCTGTCGTGACCTCATGCAAACTATGCTGATGCCTGTTCGCCGAGAAATTGCCTGACGGCTGACCACGAGTTTGCCTCCTCTTCCCAGCTGCTCGTAGCCCAACTCTACCCAAACCCAACTCTAAGTAGAAAGGCCCCCACATCATAGAGCCTTGTTCTAGATTCCTTCTTGACTCGCTTTGACTTAAGGAACGTCAGCTGCAGAGTCGGCTCGCCACCAGTAGATCTACAGAACCCCCCGGCGGGTAGGCAGTCACTCTGCACTTTGACGTAACTAGCAAACTAGCAACTTTAGGGCAGTCTCTTGAGGTTTCGGATTCTGCATCGTGTTCCCGCAATCTGGGTGTTGAAATAACATGCACCAACACAACCCCACCAAGAATCCGAACAGGCTCGCGCAAGCTGCAAGAAGCCCGAAAGCCCTAAACCCACAGCCCGCTCAACTACGCTGGAGGCCCTCGGACAAAGCCAAGAAAGTAAGGCCGAGACCTGTGGGATTGCAGGATGCCGAGGCAGTACTCCCAAAGGCCTCCACTACTGCTTGCGTTTCGGTTTAGGGCTCCATGGGAACAGCTGTGCTGCGCAGCTAGGCATTGCTGCCAAAGACTGCCAGTGCTCTTTGCTAGCGAGTATAGCTTCCCCGATAGTGCTGCTGCCGCTGCTGCCACTGCTATTACTACTGTTCCGACGAGAGGAGAGGTCTGATTAGCTTGAGGAGCCCCTATGGTTCTAACGCAAAGTCTGAAACTTGAACTGAGACCGCTGAGGTTGTTTGCCGGACCCTATCAAAACAAGGCTTTCCCCGACCATTCTTTTTAGAAAGCAGGTCTTCCGTAATAACGGACGTTATCGCCTGGCTTAATTACAGGGATACCCTTTGCTGCAAAGTCTGTCAAGCCCGTAGCCATCTTCTGAGCCATCTGAGAACTGAGCAATGGCTGCCAAGCTGACTGAGCAATTGTATTGACACTATCACAACAAATTACAGATACGAATCGAAAGCAAATTGCTTCTAATCCGAAGCCCGCCCCCGAAAAAGTCAACATTGTTCAATCACATGTTTTACACTAATCTGAACCCTTAAATTACCATTTCGATATGACTGTTACTACTACTACTGCTGCTACTACTACTACTGCTACTGCTACTGCTACTGCTACTGCTACTGCTACTGCTACTGCTACTACTGCTACTACAACTACTACTCCTACTTGAAGAAGCCTTTCAACACTGCAATAGCCACAACGCATAGCACTGCCTTGCTCACTGACGGCCACCATCACGGCGCTTAGCGTCACGTCGTTTGGCTGTACACTCTCCGCGAACATCTGCTCCTGCACAGGCAACACTGGAAAGCATTTGGGAGCCGACAATATCTGACCGTGTTTGTGTATGTCGGTGAATCAACATGTGAATGGAGACACGTACACAAATAAACTGTGAAAGACTCATAATGAAGCCATGCTGCTGAGGATTGTATCTGGTAGCCAGTCTGTCTACACTCCGTGTCCAAAAAGTAGCGGGAAAGCCTGGGGGCCTTTATTGTAGGGGTATAACCTAGAGTCTGCGAGGCACCCTATATCGTAACCATTCAGTATAATGATTAAACCCTAATCGCCTAAAACCTTAACCCAAACTAAATCCTAAGAAACTAATTAAACCCAAAATCCTAAACCCAAAATCCTTAACCCTAAATCCTAAACCCTAAATCCTTAACCCTCATATCATACTGTATTTAAACCCTAACGAAAAGTGAACTTTTGAACCCCCGGTGCTAACCCCATTGTGAACACCAGGGCCGGCGTTCAAAAGTTCACTTTTCTACAGGACCGGGGGGCCGACCCTAACAAAAAGTGAACTTTTGAACCCCCGGGGCTAACCCCATTCTGTTTGGGCTGAAGGGTTTAGGGCCTAGGGCTTGGGCTTTAGGGTTTAGGGCCTAGGGCTTGGGCTTTAGGGTTTGGGCTTTTGGCTGTAGGGTCTAGGCCTTAGGGTTTGGGCTTTAGGATACCATACTCTTGAAGCTTTAGTGAAGCTTTAAGGATTCAAAGCTTTTTTAATAAGTTGACAGTGTTGAACTAAGCTGAAGGTAATGATAAAACTTTGTATTTCTTAATGTTACGGGATTCTATGGGTGAGTGGGTATTCTGCCAGATCCAACTTGCAAGCTTGACTAGAAACTGCTCGAACCGGAGCTGCTGAGCCCTAAATCCTAAACCCTAAACCCTAAATCCTAAACCCTGAATCCTAAACCATAAATCCTAAACCCTGTAAATCCTAAATCCTAAACCCTGTAAACCCTAAGTTGCAAGCGTGAACGGCGATCCAGCAGCTGCAGGGCCCAAGGCCAGGCTTCTTCGCATGCGCGAGCCGCCGCGCTGTAAACCACCACCTGGGTTGAGGATAAGGTTTGGGGTTTAGGGTCTAGGGGCTTTAAGGCTTAGGGGGTTTAGAGGGTTTAGGGTCTAGGGGCTTTAAGGCTTAGGGGGTTTAGAGGGTTTAGGGTCTAGGGGGTTTAGGGTTTAGGTGACTTTGGGGTTCCGGGCTCAGGATTCAAGGTTTTTGGACTAGGATTCGGGATGAAAGGTGAAGGAGTTAGGGTTTCGGGTTTTGGGGGGGCTTCAGAGTGGGGCAGCATGCCCGACGAACATAGTTGAAGGCTCCGGCTCGTGGTTGAACAGCTTAAGGGATCATTGATCATGAGACTTATAGGTGATTAGGGTCGTTAAGAAGATATCTATTCTTATGGTTACTTCTACGAAGCTATGGCACTTATAACCTCAATTACTAAGTCCCCTGATCAAACAGGAAAGTTGGATCTGAGCTGGAGAGCCCAAGCCCTGAACCGTACGATGCTTCGCTTCGCTTTCAGTGTCAATTCGGGCACTTGACAGATTGGTGAAGATCTTCTAGCATACTTGTAGTAAGGAGTGTTCGTGCTAATCTGGCTCTTATGGAACCCTTGTTGGTAACCCTTCTAGAGCTCTTACAGAACCCCTCAAGGAATGGCATGAACTTGAGACTTGAAGCCCGCCATAGGTCTCTACTATAGGAGTTTGTCGGTTTTAAGGCAACGGTTCTGCGAAAAGTTCAGGATTTAGGGTTAGTGCGAGAAACATCCCAGCCTTCTAATGGAAACTTCAAAACATCCGTGATGTAGCCAAACCTCCGTAATTCAACAAATGGGGGGTTCCGAAAATAGGGGACCCTAAGATAGCACCCTTATTAGAAGGACCCCAGAATAAGGTACCCTAATTTTCGGAAACTCCCAAATCAACCTCGAGCAGCCTCCGGCTGCTCCCGATACTGCACCTGCTGTGACTTCAGGGATCTGCAACCCCAGGTGGAAACTCGCAACCCTGAACTACCCCTAAGAGCCCTAGACCCTAAACTAAACCCTAAGTTCCTAAATCTCAGGAGGCAGGCATTCGGAGGCACCTTTCTCGTGGGCATCACCTGAAATGGTGTCCAAACTTTGCAAAAGGTCAGGGATCTAAATATAGACCCCAAAAGGATAGGTTTCTTCTTTCAACTGCAAGGATCCCCGATGGGCGCTAGTGTTCAAGGCCCTCGCTTACAAATGGACAGTGCTAAAACCTGTTATGTGGGAATCGATCCTTGCAAGCACCAGCAGCTTGCTTTTGGAAAAAATCAACAACATACAGGCCTCTATCATTAGAACATACTAGAACTATTATAATAACAATACTAGGTATACTAATAATTTAATAATGCAAAAAGTTACAAACTGTTGTACTGATCAATGCTGCCAACAACAACAACAACAACAACAGTACTCACAGCAGCAATAATATACAGGAAATAGCATTGTTCAAGCTCCTAAGTCTCTGCCTCGAGGTCTGCATCAGCCAAAACATGCAAAACCCGGACCGAAAACTCTCTGTTGACACCAGACTCCGCACAACATCCAGCTGAAGTCTCACGAGCAGGCCGAAAGTTGGCACAGAATAGAGCGGCTGCCACATGTGCAAGAGGAATATAGCCACCCTGGCAACTCGCACCTCTCACGTATCTGGCAGGCGGGATGCTTCCACAAGCCGCAGCGCTTCCAGCCACTTCTGGCACTTCTCGCAGGCACTCACCGCCGAGGCGTAGGAGAACACATTAGGAGGCACCTTTGAGAGGAATGCATTCCTTCTTTTATATTACTGACAATACTATGAAGAGCAGTAGTATATTCATACTTATACTAATACTCATACTAATACAGGGTTTAGGGTTCTCGGGTATGTTAGACACGCTCGTCTGTGAACACTTCGCAGCAATGCCAAGGGTGATGCTGCTCTAGGTACTTTTTAGGCACCGCCATCTGGTTCGGTCGGGAGCCCATGTCATGTGTGTCTAAGTGTACGTGTGTATCTGTATCTATGCAGAGGCAAAAACTATATATATATATATATATATATATCTACACATATATATATATATATATACATCTGTATACATACATATACATATACATACATATACATATACATATACATATACATATACATATACATATACATATACATATGCATATACATATACATATACATATACATGTATATATTTATAATATACACATCTATGGAGACAGGGAAGTGTACAAACATGGTTACATACGTGCATAGATACATACAGACAGACATACATACAGACATATGCAAACACATAAAGGCGTAAGCACATGTGCAGTGTTCACACACATGCCGAGACAAGTACATACATTAAAGCATGCCACCGCATGCATAGATACGTACACACATCCATACATCCATGCATCCATGCATGCATGCATGCATGCTTGCTTGCTTGCTTGCTTGCTTGCTTGCATAAGTAAGTAAGTAAGTACATACATACATGCATGCACTCATACATCAGGACTTCCTTACACACACACACACAAATGCACATAGTCTACCCACACATGCTTCCGTACGGACCTACCTACATTTATATATATATATATATATATATATATATATACATATAGACATGCATGCATCATACATGCACGTTGTATTTGCTATTTTCACTTGTACAACAGAAGAACTTAAAGACCAGTGGTTGCGCGCACACATACACACAGGCAAACACGTGCACAGGCACGCGTATGACCCCACCCACCCACCCCCTCGCTCGCTCCAAACAGGCTGCAGTGGAAAGCCTATGAGCCGATTCATGACAAACCTTGATCCCTGCAAACTCTGCCAAATTAGAGTGTAATGAGGTCAGGGTTTGGTAGTAACCTCCGCGAACCGGCATCCCAAAGCCCTCTGGTCCATACCCGCATTGAAACCCAGAAACTGGCCTTGAACCCAAGAGCCGAACACCCCCGAGTCCTCGAGCCCCCGCTCCCCGAAACAGAAGGAATGTCTTGCTTTGTGAAGGTTTGGGCTTTAGGGTTCAGGGTACATTCCACCTCAGCCCTCTACCCTAAAGCTACTGGTAGGGTTCAGGGATTTGTTTCTGAAGTTGTGCCAAGACAGCCTTCTTGTGCGCCATAGATCCCAACAGTGCCAAAGCCGTTTCCCATTGTGCCTCAAGGCTTCATCAAGGGGGGCGGGTCGGAAGCTATCAGGAATAGTATCCCTGTATAAGTCCCCTGACATATTAGACGCTTAGAGAGGTTGCGAGATCAATGCATTGGATGGAGTTCAGGAGTTAGGCATCGGAGCAAGACATGCTTCGTCATCAGGGTTGCATGGTTTAGAGTTGATGATTTCGGATTTGAAGGTTATAGTCTCAAGTCTCAATCTTTTGCAGCCGAGACTATAACCACAACAATGGGCTGCAGGCACGACGTCACATGGAGGTGGAGAAAGCAACAATGAAACAACGAGTCGGCAGTGTGAAATCGTGCCATCGGCCACGGATTGCCGTGGGAACGAAAGCGTCAAATCATCTTACAAGATCTGACGGATGCGTCAAATCGTTATTGCCCTCAAGCCCTAGACCATGAACTTTCTGCCCTAATATGCTGAACCTAAAAATCTTAGACCAGAAAAAATCCACCAGGATCCGAAACTCTTGTTAACCCCTAAAGCCCAGAGCCGAAACGCTAAATCCCTGGAGCCGGAAACCCTCAAAGCCGAGGGTCCGAAACCAAAACCCTACAGCCCGAAAAAACCCTAAAATACAAGCCGAAACTGGCTTCTTTGGAGTTTTCTCTCACAAAAAAAGAAACTGGCTTCTGGTTAAGGAATTTAGTTTAAGTTACCATACCAATCATCTTGTGTCTTTATCATGGTACCTTAGTGTAAGTTCCTTAAGGAAGCGACTAGAAACCGGCTTTGGCCGTCCAGCTGCGCCCTTCTCGCAGGCGCTGATGCCCGAGGACAAGGCGAGGATGTCGGGTTGGAGGTCTCGCTCCTGGGCTCGGGGCTTAGGACTTGAAGGTATTCGGGTTTAGGGTTAAGGGGTTAAGGTATTGGGCTTTTGTTGGCAGAAGCACCATCTAAACAACAGAACTCGCAGTATATAAAGGATCCTTACACAAGCTACTCTCCCACAAAATAGGTGGAATCCCCTACTTGCATTCTGACATTATGGCCTACACATGGTCTCGGACGGTATGCGGTATGCGCGTACAGATACGCCATCCACAGAAAGCCCGACATACAACAACAAACACACAAAATCAAGCGACAACAACTATACAGCGTCATAGAAAACCCCAAACCCGAAACCCTATGCCGCAGCCTTAAACCCTAAAGCACTGAACCCTAGACCGTAGCCTCAACCCTAAGTATTTCAGTCCCCAAGGGGCCGGCACCAGGAAATTACTGTGAGTATGCAAGATATTGCACTGTAGAGCATCAAGGTTCCATCATACTAACTTATACAGTCGAGAGCCTTCTGTATATGGCTTTCGAGAAAGTGCGAAGGGTAGTTATACACTCTAGCATGTGCTAGTTTATGTTGCGTGCAACCATAGGCGGAAGGCACCGATCGGCATGTGGCGGACCGGAGGTAAAGAGATGTGTCAGAAAGAGGTCAGTATAGGGACCTTACAATTAGAATAGGGTTGGGGGGTATATTGACATGTAATTGCTACGGTATGAGGAACTCTGAGAATTAGGCTTGGTAATCATTCCGGCTTCTTTATCACCTCTGTCTCAATGAAGCCATTGGGCAGTCTTCGTTTGGAGCAGCGCGCCTCCATCTCGTCCAGGAGCGACAGTGCCTGCGCCCACTGTGTGCCACGACCCAGCGACGTTATGACGGCGGCAAAAGACCTCGGCAAGGGTGGCGGCTCAAGAAGAACCAAGAGATAGTGTTGCTGGTACCCACAGCCTGGAAGCCCAAGCCGGCAACCGCAATCTCATCAAACCCTCAAGCTGCGAGAGGTCACCTAGCACAACCGCAGCTTATCAGATCAGAAACCGATGGAATGCACGTAAGACGGGAACAAGGATTACTTTGGAGGGCTTCCTGAGGGTCTGCTTCGGACCCCCATCACTTGCACGTACCTCATCCATCTGCATAGTTGCTTATGTGTACATAAATGTATGTTACATGCACATTCATATGTCTATATATATATATATACAAAGCTAGAAAGAGGAGGCGACAAACAGCTAATTTGATCGACGTGTTGCTGTCTGAAAAGATGTATACCATCTGCATGCCTATCTATGCCTGCCTATGTAACCTCCCTCATTTCATGTAGCTACCGACCTACCTACACCCACGACCGACCGACCAACCGACCGACCGAAGTACCTGCCTACCTTCCCACCCACTTACGCACCCTGCCTACTTGCATTCCCCACGCACCCACCCATCAGTGCCCACCTGCACAAGTCTAGCTACCATCCGTCCAGCGGTCCATCCACACATACGTAAGGCGTACGCCTATGTACGTACGTACGTGCATATATACAGCTATACATACACATTCACATTCATATATGCCTGCACGCATACATGCACCTACACAGTAGCATGCTTTGGGTTCACGGCTTCGGAGAAACGATTTACATGCAGGAATGTCTACATACCTTTACTAGAAGCCCCGAGGTGCATGGGCAAACATTCAACACCAAGCGTCCCAGCATCCGTCAAGGCTGCCCTTTGCAGAAGCGACAACGCAACGGGCCATTGGTCAAAGCATGCAGCAATGGCCGCATTGCCTGGTGCAGAACCGGGCGGATATGTTAATAGTAACAATACAAGGTAACAAAAACAGCAACAACCACGACAACAACAACAACAACAGCAACAGCCATATCCAACATGATATGATCAATAGAATAAGTAAACAACGAACGAATAACACCAATAAAACTAGAGACTATGATAGCAACAATGACAACAACAACAAAACATGAGAATACGAATAAAAACGAGAATACAACTCATAGTCGTGGCCATAATATATACTAGTGATACTGAATTGTAATGTTAAGAGTAATTGTATGTAATGCTAACACCACTACTATGTGATAATGTACGAACGATTGATGCGAGCGATGGGAACAAGTAATAAATAGTGATACTGACAGTCAATCAAGATAAAAAGAATAAGAACTATAGTAAAAACAATAACACCTACAAACAACGGTATTCATACTAGTAACAACACTGATACAAACACGAATAGTAATAACAATACTACAGGCAACATTAATGATAGTACTAACAACAGGAAATACATGTTAACCCTGACGTACGATTCTCCCTGACACTCCAAGTACTCATACACTAAGGTTCCACTCGTATGTACCCCAAAACCATTCAGAGTAGAGCATCTGGGAGCTAGTCTGGCTCAGATTGAAAGAATACCACCTACGAACTTGAACCCTCTGAATCTTGTGTTTCGGAGGCCGTGTAGGCAACTGTGCACCTGGTTTTTGTGCGCTCGTGCCAGTGTTTGTGCATTCTAAGTCCATGCAGATCGATGTCGCATGTGCAATAACTTAAGACTTTTGAATATCGGATGCGCGATACCACAGGAATTCAAAGTTCACATATCCGGTGTAGACAGATTTCAGTCATTCAGCTGCATCTCCGGGAGTGACAGCCGTCTACCATCATAAGAAGTCCATAACGACATCATGTGTGCCTCGAAAGGGCTGCCTGTAACTGGCTGATTTGTCAGTCGGAAATGCCAAGACTGCTGCGTAGCTATGAAGCCCGAAACACTCACCTCAAGGCAAGCTCCCAGTCGGCTCGAGATTTCGATACTTGGATCAATCCCATGAGCCAGAACTCTGCTAGAAGAGCGAGACATGACAAGTCCTGAGCAAAATGGCGACTTTCACTGCGCAGAGTTGCACGCGATGGCACTTGGCGTCATGCCACAGTCCTGGGCAAATTTGTGGGGCTTTTGGTTGACTTCGAGGTGAAGCTTTGAGCGCCGATGCTGGAGGCATTTACTGCGGTTTCAGGGGGAGGGGCAACCAGGGAAAAACTCAGATATTTGGGTCTGCTCGAAGCATTTACTGCGGTTTCAGGAGCAGGGGCAAGCATGAAAAAACTCATCAGATTTGGGTCTGCTCATGAAGTACGGACAACAGGATGAAGACAAACCATGCACCGGTAGTGCAAGTCCTCGAGTCTGACAATAGAACACATCATTTCAACAGTCATAACTCGGCCTTCCCACGAAGCCAAGCATCGTCCATGTATTGCAGCAGCTGTACGGCTGGCTGCCACTGGCTGGCCTTGCCGGGGAAAGGGAGGACAGTAGTGTCTTTTTATGTCAAGAGACGGCGCGGGCACGTTTGGATGCAAAGACATGACTGCTTCGTTCTGGGTTGGCCATGGTTGGCAAGACAACTCCGACGAACCATGTTCAATAACCAACACTCCGGTTCTCGAACAAACATGCGTCTGCATTGGCCACCTTACAGGCCCTCGATGCTTCACAGTTGGGTCGGTGACACAGTTGCCGTCACTTGTGCCCAAACATCTTCGCTTGTCCTAAGCTCTGCACTACAGAGAGGTCAACATGCGCAGAGCAGGTCCGATCCAATTGGGCTTCGGCTTCGGGGGTTTCAGTTCCACTCAACATGGTGCCTTCTCGCAAACGCTGATGCAAGCGCCAAAGGCCACGACCTCGGATGGTGTTTGTGAATCGACAGGCATGGCTTAGCAGCTGGAGAGCTCTTCCAGCCGTCACCCCAAGGCGCACGCGTTTCAAGCGGACCCACGCGGATAGACACATAGGATGTTGTAGGGAAAAAGCAGCGATCTGCTGCGAAGAAGCCCCAAGAAGCTACGGCTGCAGCACCAAGTCACGACCCTGCGCTCTGCCGGCTCTTTGATGTGCATGACACTGCACCAACTATGTATGTCGGTCACAAGGGCTCTAAGGAAATTCGGATGCTCCAGGGTCTTTTCGGGATTCTGGGAGACGGCCAGCCGGAGGGGAGCCCACACGAAGGCCAGAGGCCCTTCTAGCGAGCCAACGCACAAGGCAAATCAGAGGATCGAAGCCGTGTGCCAACCCAGCAACAGCGTTATGGACATGAGAAAGTTACTACTATTACTACTACAGTTCTCCTTATTGCTGCTAATATTAGTAGCTGTATTGTTGTCATTGCTATTGGAATTATTAGCTATACTATCTTTATGATTGCCATGATGATATGTTTAATGGTTACCAATGTTCAGGAGCTTACAAATCCAGAAATTCTACCAACCCACATCCAGCGTTATCACGCACGCCACTGAAGATGAATTGAGTCGGGTAGCATCCAGCTGAAAGCCCTGAGCGACCTCGACTTGCTAAGGGAAGTGAGGGCCTGGGGCTCAGGGTGTCAGAAGTGCTTTGGGTTTTCCCCTGGGCTTTGGCAAGTTTAGGGCCTTTAAGGTTGACGGCTTTGTTCTGGGCGCCTGACTCGAGCAGAGAACGTGCAAAAATTGACCGACACAACGAATCGGGGAAACCCTGCAACTTGCGGGTGGAGTGCGCTACCCAAACGGAACAAACTACAACCGACTCCACCGGAGACATTGATGCTCCCGCTACCTTTTGCTGAATGTCGTCCTGCCACGTCAGGTGTCCCGACATACTGCCTTGACTCTAGTGCTACCATGACCTTCATTGAGTAGCATCCTCGGCCTCGTTAATGGTTCAGGATTCAGGGTGTGGGTTTCGGGGCTGGGGTGCTCTCAAATCAGCGACCCACTGATATAGCACAAGACACAGCAACACATTGCGACCTCCAATGTGACTCGTAGCAGCTTAGGAGAACTCGATAGTCCTGCCAAAAAAACTCTCCGAGTACCTCACGATACCAGCAAGCACGGCCACCGCCGTCGCCCACTGCGAAGCCCCGAGGCAACCGATCAATGAGCCTTTGAAAGTGTGAGTTTGAAAACCGCGGCTGTTCTTGCTGCTATCTGACTTGCAGTGCGAATGGTTCTGTTGGGTCAACGGTACAACGACACACAGAAAAGGCCTTTGCACGAGGAGGAGAGGAAAAGGCTGTAGTTGGACATGGGACGATGAGTAGTGGATGAAGCCAAAAGGCAGGGAGAGGATCAGCTTGATGTTGCGAAGAAGATGGTGCAGACGGCGACATTTACGTGATGTTAACTGGTGAGGCTGCGACTGCTGATGCTGCTGCTGATGATGACGACGATGAGGATGCCTGGTGAAGGTGTAAGCATGATCGCTTAGTCAGTGGGATAAACTGTGCATAAGTTTGCAGGAGACGTGTGGGTATTCGGCAAGCTGTCAGTTGTAGTAGTACCCACGTATCATGTTACGAGGAGAGAAAGACTACAGTGCAAAACCGCCTATGTGCCCGCATTCCCGCGTGTCGCGAGTCTACAGAGGGCCGTAGGGAGGCACTTGCACGGCATGCAAACCCTATAAAGCAAAAGCCAGAAAGTTGGAATATGGTTTCATGGTAGGATAGAAGGGTTAGGATAATCATATTCCAACTTTCTGGCTTTTACCTTACCCCAAACACCCTGGTCCTCATCTGTTGGCCACCGGTCTGACATCTGCGAATCTATGTGTGTTACGTATTCTGCATGCGCTGCTCCATCTGCAAACAACTCATTATACGAGCATACATCGCTGCATATACACATAAACACGTATATAGGCATATACATATCAATATGTATACTGCTTAATCACCAATGTGTGGACTTCCTCGTGCCCTCACAGAGCAACAAGCGGTGCTCAGCACATGCACATGTGCACACAATACTGCTCATCCACCCATCCTTCCCTCAATCCATCCATCCATCCATCCATCCGTCCACCAATGCATGCATGCATGCATATGCAAATGTACCACCATATGTACCTGCCAACCAACCTACCTACGTACACACATATATACAGAGACCCACATACGCGTATACACACGTACACACATACATACATACATACATTCATTCATTCATTCATGCACACATGCACTCATACAGTACATAAATACATGCCTACATACATGAATACAAGCATATATACATGCATACATGCATGCATACATGCATACATACATACAACCATCCTGCATACATGCACTCATGCATGCATACATACGTAACATACATATATATTCCACACATGAATACCAACATTGGTTTGCAAGGGTGTAGACTTGGGGGTCTTGACAAAGAGAAGATCGTGATAGACGCTGGGAACAAGAGTTGCAAGCGCAGCCCTTCACGAGATTTCCAACCATTTAGCTTTATAGCAGATCGGTATGCAGGCCAGCAGCTGTAAATGATGATGTTGGGTTGAACCGCCTCGTCTGCCTTGGGATCTGTGAAGCAACATGCTTATGCGGGTCCAAGGTGATCAACATCGGCGAGGACCATACTGGGACACAACAAAAACTCCCGAGAAAGGTAGCGACACCCAAGGTTCCAAGCCAGTTGAGACCGTGGATTTAAGACACCTCGCGCCTTCAGCTTGGAATCAGTTCACGCACTCTGCAACACCATCTACGAATCTACTTGTGCTGGTACTTGCATACTGATAGATACAGAGAAACAAAGAGAGAGAGAGAGAGAGAGAGAGAGAGAGAGAGAGAGAGAGAGAGAGAGAGAGAGAGAGAGAGAGAGAGAGAGAGAGAGAGAGAGAGAGAGAGAGAGAGAGAGAAGAGAGAGAGAGAGAGAGAGAGAGAGAGAGAGAAAGAGAGAGAGAGAGAGAGAGAGAGAGAGAGGGAGAGAGAGAGAGAGAGAGAGAGAAAAAAAAAAGAAAGAGAGAGAAAGAGAAACAAAGCGAAATAGATACAGGGCGGTAGAGGCCTCGGAGACTTTGTAGCTGCGAGCAAATACCGCGAATGTCAGCTTTTTGCGTTGTTAGCAACTTCGATGTGGATATGCCAGCAAGCAGTTACGGAGCCAGGTTCTAGTTCGTGCAATTGGCGGCGTTTTCGGAGCTTTGTACCGTATTGACGTCTAGGTTGCAGTGCCGCGCCGAAGCTTGCCGGAGGAACCATACGGCTTGCATGTGTCGCTAGATGTTAGTTTGTGTGAGCGGAGGTTATGAAAATTTTACCGGGGCTCGACTGGGAAACAGGACGGTGGGGCACAGTATAGTATTAATACATAGGGGCTGCGCAAGGCAGTCGGCCGAGAGCATCTTCTCTCGGTGCTTAAAGTAGAAACAACACGCAAGGAGAAGCAATGAGTTGCTGAGAATAAATATGCTCTGACCAATCGCGAGGAGAAGGGTTGCATGTACATGGTGAGCGTCTTTGGGGTTCAACCGTCTATGTTCATTCCTCTCATGAGCACCCTCGCCACTGCAATCATTGCTTTTGTGGCAATGTGTCCAAGCCGAAAAGGTTCTCGGTAATCCTTGTACTTTACTGACAGCATTCGTTTTAATCCTGGCAATCACCCAATACTTTTGCGATGCTCCCAGCTGCCATGTAGTCGAGCAAGGCCACTGCAACTTGCCAGCGGCCGTCTTTGCGACATGCGCTGACGGCTCCTCGGGTGTCCACGTACCAGTACGGCTTGGGTTTGCACTCACACCTTACGAGTACCATACCTACTCTGGAGCTCCGGGTCCGGCTCTTTACAGTTGCTCCTGCGTTTCCATGAAGCTGCCTTGCAAAACAAAGCATCTTCAAACGCACTCAACCAACAAACGTGCTGTGACGGCGGGGCATAGATAAGTGATCAGAAGCAGATACAGGTGCAGTCGCGAATGTTGCCAGGAAGACAGCCTACATAAACAGACTCGCGTTTAAGGGCATCTTGCCCCACATGCCTATGAATAAACGAACCCTGCACTCCGCTGAGATAATTGCTCCCTTACTTTCGCAGGGCAAGTATAAAGGTTAACCTTCGGGAGCATATCGGGGTTATAGTGCTCCCATAAAGCAAAGAGCTAACATACTCTTACTCGCCCACTAAGGTCCAAATCCGACTCTCAGAAACCCCTGTCTTCCCTCTGCGTCCTCCCACGGAGGCGGCGGCCACAAGAATACCTCAGTCTTAGTCTTTGGGGATGTCGGGTATGAAAACCTTAAGGGTTGCAGGGTGTAGGTATATGGTTTACGTCAACCACACCGAAAAAACAAAAAAAATGTTTGAACGGCATGTGTACAGAAGTTTTCACTATCAGGAAACCAAAAACGAAGATGATCCGTGGTTGAGGTAAGCCTTTAAGATCTGGGTTAATCAAGGATGAGGCAGGTCGCCAGGTCTGATGTCGCACGAAAAGCATAGGAGCTGTAGTAATTCGAACAGGGTGCCTCAGGGCCCATCATTAAATTCATAGTATGACGTATCCCGAAAAAGGCCGCTATGTTAAAGCCCTCTATTTAAAAAGCAACTTGAAGGCTTTCGGTTTGGGTGACAACAGCTTCGAAGAGTCCTACACCCCGACGCCGTAAGCCCCAAAACGCCAAAGGGGGGGTCCTCAGAGCACAGTGTCTCTGCTTTGGCTGGACACTGCAAGCCGGGTGCAAAGGGGGCTTCTTTTGATGAGTACGGTTTTGGGTGTGGGGGTATAACGGCTTATTGTATCGGTATAACATTGGTTTCATGCACATCCAGAGTATATGGGTCTTCGAGACGCAGCACAACTGGTTAACCAACCTCCAACGTCCTGGCCACAAACAGCTGAAAGCCTAACTTTGAGCTGGTCATGGCTGAGGTCATAAAGACTTAAACTTAATTAACCCAAACCTTCCTTCAACACGAAATTGAATAGCTTCAGGGTGCCCTCGCGCTTTGCCGTGGACAGCAATGAGACTGCCGCCACCCAGGCGCCTCCAACCAGGCGGCAGGCAGTTTCCGGAGGAGGGGGTTCGGAGTTTAGGGATAGGGTTCGGGGTTTCATGAGTTGCAGATTATGCGAAGTTTCTTAAAGGTGCTAAGTGCCTCGCCTCAAGACTGTGTCTGTGTGAGGCTGGTCGACACCAATGGCCAGAAAGGGGGCTAGGCGAGTAGGCGCATAAGCATGGGGCTGCGAAGGGGTGTCAGCAATGGCAGAATAAATTTCTGAGTCCGGGGCTCCACCGTTTATCTACGCCCCACCTCGACCAAATGCTTCCTACTAGGTCAAATTTATGAAGAGGTGATGAGCAGCGCGCGGAGCTCTTGTACTCGTCGACACTGAGCGATTCGCAACGGTTTGAGTGTCCTTACTTACGGGGTTTCATCAGACTCTTACCTCCTGAAATGCGGTCTTCTAGCGGACGAGAACTATGTTGGAATCTAGTTTGACAGAGTTGAATTCATCACGAGAGTCATGCACATTGCCAGCCGGGATGCCAGAGCGGCCGCATGCACCTGCAATACCGAAATGTGGACCACGGACGGTTTCTGTATGACGTTGTTTTGCGGGGCGGCCGGACCCGAACCGGAACTGTGTAGCTGCATCATCAAAAGATCAAAAAGCTGCAGCCAGATCCCAAAAAATCAAAAAGTTGCAGCCAGATCCCAGCACTACCAGCAAGGGACAGAACGAGTACACCTCGGAAAGGCTAGTTCTGTGGAACATTGGACTCTCGACAGCTTTATACGACCACTATGAGCAAGAGTTAGCAACAACCGATGCGCAAACACCATGTACCCTGAAGCAGGGTTCCTACACATAGCGATATTGAAACTATACATTGTAGCACTTACAGTAGAACGGCATTCTACCTAATCCGATTCACTCCTCAACCGAGCTGCCGATGGCCGCACCGAAAGCCCGCGCATCCCGCTGAGCTGGTGCAGCTGCTGCGAAGAGCGCGAGGGCATTCCGCCAACGTAAGGCCCGTCCTGGCTGGACAGGCTTCGGGTTTACAGAATTGGTTGGGCTTTAGATGGCCTCGGATGGGCTAATGTAGGTTTGTCGGTTGCTGGAGCTTTGTTGGCTTGCGTCTGCTGTGATTTCTGCCTGCTGCTGCTTGAAGGGTGCTTCTGCAGGTCGTAGGTCACTCATACAAACAGGGTGTTTTCTCAAGAAGGTATCATATGGGCCTTTGCGCAAGGATTTTGACCTATTCTGAAGGCTTCGGAATATTTCGGAGTGATTTGGAGTGAAACTCTGAAGCCTAAACTCCCAAGCCCTAAACCCCAAGTTCTAAACCGCACACCCAAACCAAATTCTTTGCGTTTTTGTGCACCGTCATGGCCTTCCGGCAGTCCGAAAGCGAGGGTTCAGGGTTCAGGGAGGGACCCTGAATGGGGACCCCTACCCTACAATGGGCTATATAATGGGTATATGATAGCTATATTAAGGGTATATACCTAGGGGTGTTGGAAAGGCATCCGGGAGTTCGAAAACCACGTCCAAGAGGGGGTTCGGTGCCCAGGGATCCTGGAGGAAAGGAAAAAAGAAGTCCTAAACCTGAAGGCATTTAGGGCCAACAAGGCTCAAAAGCAAGCCTGGTGGCCCCCAACAAAGACAAACACCACGCAAAGAGTCAGAAAACGAGCACTGTGTCTGGAATGGATGCCCCGAAGAAGGAAGACTGACCCGTCAAATTTCCAAAAACTTCCAAACACACCAAAACATTCATAAACAAATCTTAAAAAAGAATTCCAACGAGTACAAAAAACAAAACCCCAACATGCAAACAAAACGAACACAACTCAAACAACTCCTAAAAATACGAAAAAATTAGAAATCTAAACATAGAAATCAATACACTTCGAACAACTTAGAAAATCAAGAAGATTCCAAGACACTGAAAACACAAACACATTCCAAAAAATCCAAACAAATATCAAACGATGTTACCAAATACCTAAAATTGCCGAAGCATACAAAGCAACAACTCTGGATTGCGTGTTTGTGCTTTCCTCAAGCTTGTTTGTGGCTAAAAATGTTGCCCTTTTTCCCCACCGACTTGGCTGTGGCCATGAACCATCAGTGTCCCAAACTCGACTTTACAATAAACCTTCACGTCATGATCGACAACGGGACCCTCTGCCTCAAATCGAGCGTTGTAAGGACCTAAAGACCTACCGTCGCTGCCTTCGGCGGCCACATCTGCCACAAGCCGTGCGGCGCCATGACGGCCCATGGAGGCAAGCCATGGCCGCCACAGGGCTTGAGGGTTTCAAAGCTTACTTAATCGGCTTTGAAACTTGGGCCTCTGGGATCTGGGTAAGGCTTACCTGGTAAGGGATCTCTGAGGGGCGTAGAGGGCTTGTGGTCGTAGTTCAAGAGGGTGCGGCCCCATCGCTCCACCGGGTCTTGGCTTGGGTGGGGGCGCTTGCCATCCTGGCCTGTTAATTAGAACCTTCTCAAGCGTAGCTGCCTGGCTGGAGTAGGTCAGGGTTCAAGACTTGAAAAGTACCATTTACATGTGGGGAATACGGTGGAGGGTTAAGGCGTGGAGGTTATACCGGTTAGCTGTATGGAGTGCAGGGTTGCGGGTTCTAGCAGTGCTTGCGTATAGGTGCAATTTCGCTTTGTGTTTCAATTGCAATCACAGCTTGCTTGTGCAAATTCGCAATATGCCGGAGCTACATAAGAACACGGGCAGTGTAGATTCCAAACTACCGGTGTCATTGTGCCTTACCCTGCGAAATATCATTGCACGTGTTTATCATGATCATCACCATCACAATCATCACCACCATCCGCCTCGCCATCACCAAGATCATCATTGCCATCATCACCAACGATAACGAACACAACCACAACCGCGGAAACTATACAACTACTACGACGACAATGACGACAGTAACCTTAGCCGCAACAATAGCAGCAGCCACGTCAGCATGATTAGCAGTACCAGCACCACCACAAAGCAGTTGAGGCAGCAGACAGACAAGGAATTCCAGACAAGTCAGTTGAAGAAGAAGAAGCCCTTTTTTGTTTTGGCCTCGTGTCCTTCCTCGGTCCCGGCTGGCGGCTGACAAGTCAGCGCGCGTTACAGGTGCTCTGGTGTGGACCCTGCAGAGGCGGGCCATCGCTCGACTTTGCGCACTGCACGTCTTGCAAGACAGGAGCTGGACTAGAGCTCAGGGCGGCCGCTCTGGCAAACCTCTGCGTCGCATACCACACCCTTCAGCATCACGGGTCCTGTCGTCACAAAAAAACTTAATCAAACACGATCTCAGGAACTGAACGCTGCAGGCTCTAGCAGAAGCTGAAGACCCACCTTCCGCAGATTCCCTACTTACTCCTGCTCCTACTGCCACCAAAGCACTGCTGCTGCTGCTGCTGCTGCTGCCACTGCCATTGTCGTTGACTACTACTACTGCTGCTGCTACTACCACCACTGCTAATACTACTGTCTACTAGCACTAGTAGTAGTAGTAGTAGTAGTAGTAGTAGTACCTGTGAAAACCAAGCCTGCATAATAAATGCTCTCGGCGATTCCGCTGGAGGTTTCCGCTCGTTCCGCTTATTTTTGCTTCGGCTGTTTGCTGTGGATCAGCTGCTCTAAAGCAGAATTGCTCTTTCGCAGTTGTTGTCTGAAATGAAAAACGCTCTTTGGTTGATCCCGGTGATTCACTGGAGACACACGTATTCGGGATCAATAATGGCTTCTATATGGTATGTCTATAAAGAAGCAGCATATAAGACCCTTTCTTGCACAGCACGGCCTCGCAGTCGCAGGCTCACAGCTCACAGCAACGAGCTCGCACATCCACATCATGCCGTAGATAAACCTTCGAATCCTTTACAAACCCAAACTATATATATATAACCTTACATGAACCCTATATAGAGATATCTAAAAGCCCATATCATAACTTATAAGTATATATACATCAATATGTATACAACCACGTGCCTGCTTGTCGAGAGCGAGTGCTAAAAGTACCTATGCATCTCTCTTTATATATATATATATGCACAATTTACATAGTTCTTTTATAGCAACCTATCATATCCTCCATCCCTGTAAACCGTATATACTATACATAATTAATTAAACCCTCGATCAAGCCCATATAAGCTTTGAAACTCCACCCTATATAACCCTCATCCCTGGTGGATGGCGAGCACGAGCGTTGATTTGCCAGCTGCCGGGCGCCCGGACTTCTAGATGTAGACGAACCTTTAAATAGACCCCTAGCTAAATTATAGCCTGAACAACTTGAGGTACACATGGTATCGGAAAGATAGGAAGTGCATGGAACCCGTATTTATTGGATAGTCGCATCTTAAAGCCCGGACTTCTTGTAAAGGAGTCTCAAAGCAACAAGGTAGTGTTCGATACTCCTTCGGGTAGCTTTTTTTGGTGAGACCCTCCTCGAGATCCTGGAGACTTTGCCTATGAAGTCCTCATTCCCTTCAGCATTGAAAACTGCGGCGGCATTAAAAATGACCTCGTGGCTTAAGTCAACCTGATCTTGCATGTCCACCAACACGTGATGGAAGTAGTGGACCTTGGGCTTCAAGGAAAAATACCGCTTCTTATCTCGTATGCACTTGTTGGCCAAGAACACGTAGCCCCTGAAAAGGCGAAGCCCAGATGCGATGCAGAATTTCGCACAAGGAGGAGAGTAAAAACAACCGTGCGAGTGGTACGTTCCGGTGAAACACAAGGCTCCTTGCACGGTCTCCAACATCGCAGACAAAACCAGCGTGTGGCTGGCCTCCTTTGGAGACCGAAGCTTCAGTCGCAAAAGCCATTCCAGGAACTCTAAGACTACCACCGAATCTGACCCTTTGCCACTCATGAACGGGTATTTGGTAGCCTTGTCCCGATGGAATGAAAGCTTGGAAAACTTCCTGAGTCCAGAGCTCTTCTTCGAGGCTGACAACCAAAGTTTGAACAGGCCGAAGGCTCGGGATAGTCTGGCGTTCATAGACCAAGGATCCCCGGGGTTATCCAGATACTTCATCTCGCACAAGAGCATAAGGATACCTGCATTCAAATCCTTCAGGAATCCGAATTTGCAAGTATGGAAAACATCTTTCCTGTACAAAGCGGGTCTCTTCGTGGATGCAAACGGAATCCGATTCAAAATCGGCAACTCGTCCCAGGGCTCATCACTATGTAAAGTGCTTCTCCAGCCCGGAGTGTCCCGAGTGTCGATTGCAGGGATTCCTGGAAACCCTGCTTTGCAATCTGGACAAAAGGGATAAGTCACGGTAGTTCCTATATTTTGATAGGATCGGTTCAGGTAGGCGGTTTCTAGGAAGAACTCTAAGTCGCCCTTCACCCCTATGACCGCACAGCGGTAAGTGGAACCACCGTGCAGCACACCCGCGTGAAACAAATCGGTCATCTCTCTGGCAACTTCCTCCAAGTATGCATCTATGAGGCCTGGATGGGCTTTGAAGACTCTCGACGGAATGCAAGTGCCGAGCCAGTGACTCAGATACACGTGGCCCTTCAGGTTGTGAGGTATACTTGAAGTCTTGTATGGCAGCGAGGGACCGACTCTCCTACGTTTCAGGGGACACTCAGCATCATCTAGGATTTCGGGATTGTGTAAGGCCTGGGCCCTTTCACTGCAGCTCTGGTTGAGTTTCCCGCCGGTTTCGTGGCGAGGGGGAGCAGCAGATTTTGCTGCCGCCATACGGCAATGCAGCGGCAATCCGAATGCCGTCTCCCATCCGAAGCAGTAGATTGGTTGCTTAGCCAAAGTTCGCCCCTTATCCCCGTGTAAAGCTACCGGTAGGATCCGTTTCCTCTCATCTTCAGTGAAGGTGCTAAAGATTTCGTGCTCCGGATGGTACAGACGGTAGCCTTGCCAAAACTGCATGCAAAGATTCTCTTGTTCGGGCCCGAGGTCAAAACCACCGTACAAAAGCTTCGGGTGAGTCTTCAGTAGGAACCCAAAGAAGTCCTTGATTTTGATGTAAGGAAGATTGACCGGCCCCCCATCAGCATCATCATGGTGCAACTCCGATATCGGAACACGTAGTCTCAAATGAAACCGCTGAAACAGCCTCTGAGAATCCCTTTCACCATTGGACTTACCAACCTTGCATGCTTGCCCTATGGAGCTGCAGCCTGAGGCGTTGCCCAGATCAGCAGTGAAAGCACGAGCTATGCGGCCAATGTCAGCAGCCGGAGCCTTGGATGGCTCGAAAGTAAAGTCATGGTTTAGGGGCATACGTAATATTTGAGGCACATAGCTGTACACACATAAAGAGTGTGCATGCTGCATGGGGCTGGGGTTTCCTGAACTGCTTAATTTAGCGTATGATTAATGGTACCTGCATATCAGAATTCGGGGCTGATCGGGCAAAAGACAATCTAGAACTAATATACATATACATACATACATATATATATATATACAAACAATGGAAAAGCCCCAAACCTGAGTAATGTTCGTCGCCCTGTGATGCCCCGCGATCAGTATACTATGAAGCAATCAGCGTGCAATCGAACTGTTCTTAATTGCAGGTCGTTTATGTATAGAGCTTTATTGGGGAGGCATAGATTGGATCAGGATCAATCCCCGAAAAAGCAATTGTGTGCACTCGAACCATCCACGAAAGGGCATGATGGGCTGGGCTTACAAGGGTACTACACAGTTGGGTTTATTATAGATATAGCGACTATATAAAGGCTGCCCGGGAAGGACATTGCGTGCAATCGAACCGTCCAGCGTATAGGGTTTTTAAGGTTATAAGGGTTAATTGAATTTGGTGTGTATATAATACATATGTATATAAGTTATTAGGTTTTGAAAGAATGAGATAATTGGATCGACTGTGTAGCAATTATGTAGGGATGCCGTTCTTAGGTGGGGTTTATTACAGGGTTTATACAACTATATATAGGGTTTATAAGCCCTTGGGGTTTATAAGGGTTCAGGGCTTAAAAGGGTTTAGCCTGGAGACCCCATCCACGACACTCTGTGCGAGTGCCTCAACGGCCTCCGTCTTCTGGGATTCGTCTCTGCCTGGCATTGCAACACAAACCGGCTTGATAAGGAAACGACATCATTCAATCAGAACGGTATATACTGCATGAACCCCTTTTTAAAAAACGTCGCAGCCGAAGGTCCACGTGATCCAGCATCCTAGGTCATGCCAGGAGTTGTTTCGCACCCGAGTGCTCGAGCATCCTAGGTCATGCCAGGCGTTGTTTCGCACACGAGTGCTCGAGCATCCTAGGTCATGCCAAGAGCTCGAAGGACCCCCGAAAGCTGACCTTGTTTGCAGATGCCGCATGCAGTAAACATATGATCATGTATCCCCGGGCCGAGCTCTTAGCATCTACTTTGTCCTGGGCTTCTTTGTGGAGCCACCAGCCAGAACCGGCGTTCTCTTGCCCTTCGCCTTCGCCTTGGGTGCCGGTTTCTCCTCTGCCTCTGGCTTCTGCTCCTCCACCGGAAGCAGCGTCCTGCACAAAGGTCTCGATTGGGATGCTCGCTGCTCGCATGTACATGTATGCATGTGTGCACGTGTGCCTGTGTGTATGGCATATATATATATATACACACATATATATATATATACATACATACATACATATATATATATATATAAATGTATAGATACATGCCTAGGCACATTTCTGTGAGCGTGCATGCAAGATGTGTGTATATATATATATGTGTGTATATATATATATGTAAGTGTATATATGCATGCGTGTGTGCGTGTTTATGTTGCACTGACACGTAGCCGGCGTCCTGGCACGGTTGTCGAGCTCCCAGGAATCCACTAGCCTGGATGGATATGGTGTAAGGCACCGGAAGTTTTGTGTTTCAGGGATAGGGTGTTTAGGGTTAGCAGGGTTTGTATGGAGTTCATGGACAGCTCCGTTATAATTTGGGCCATATATAGGAAGGCATATAATCTTGAAGGCTTACAGTGTTCATGGTTCTCCTGCCGCGTAAAGCTGTTGATTATCTTGGGTGGCCAGCCGAGAAGCAGCTTCTTGATCTTGTTCACGGCAACCTTCATCTCGAGGGTGATCCTTGACATCGGGCTTATTTAGATTATAGGGTGCTTAGCTTGATCTTGTTGAGGGCAACCAGGGTTTATAAGGTTTGCAGGTTATCTTTGTCCTATCGGAAGCATGCAACCTTCAACCCCAGGTCGATCCGTATGTGGTTTAGGGTTTTTTTACGGATAGGGTGGTTGACGGCAACTTTGGTTTGGGGTTTACATAGTTTATAAGGTGGTTATCTTGAAAGTTGTTGAGGGCAACCTGTAGGGCTTAAAGGTTTTATCAACTCCAGGTGGAACTGGCTTCGGGTTTTTATGGGGCTCAGGCGGCTCAGGATTGTCGAGGTATGAAAGGGTGGTTGTATATATCGCCCACGAAATGCAAATCATACTTCATCCCAGACTCTCATCCCAGCCGTCAACGACACCACGGGTGTGCAACTCTTGGAACTCCTCACTGCATGCGTCCATGGCATCGTAGTTCGTGGAGAGGCGTTCGATCATCCTCAATCAGACAGCCCGAACACGGCAAAGGGTGTCCACTGCATGGAGTATATAATGTGCAAGTACATAGTGTGCAACCGAGCTGCCTCTCCATTGTCTTCAAAGTACCCCCCTTTGTTGTCGCTGCACCCGGGTCTTGCTGAAGCTGAGCCTGCTTCTTCTGTATGTGATCCTGCAGCAGGCTTCTTGTCCCATCCACAATCAGCAGCCGAAGGCTGACACAACTCATGATCTTGTTCAGGTGCTGCCCGCCGGCTTCCGTCTTCTCCGTGTTGGGGAAGGCCATCTTCTTCAGGATTTTGAAGGCTTCCTTTTCCATGGCCTGCTTGGTCTCGGGGTCCTCCATCTTTTTGGCGCGTTTGGCAGCATTGCCTCAGGTTTTAGAAGTGCATGCAAGATTCGAGTAAGGTTTAAGGTTAGAGTTTTTGAGGGTTTGGGCCTTATATAGGGTTTTACAAGGTTTATGACTGTACGGCTTGCAAGTTACCAGCGTCAAGGCTGGGGTCTGCAGCCCTTGTGAGCACAGACCCCGAGGGCATCTCGAGGTTCAGCTCATCCGTCGGTAGGTCGAACTCCTGCTCCTCCTTGAAAGTAGTTTTCGCAGATTGCCTCAGTGTGATGGTTGCTACATCAGCTATTTCAGCAGCTAGACAATGTACAGAATTTTGAAGCAACATTCGGGCTGCATGCAGAGCAAGATTCTTCTTGTGCCCCTTAACCTTCAGCTCCATGTAGAAAGTTTCAACTCCCTTTCTGAAGGTGTGCCACCTGCAAGCGTGCCATTGTACTTCTCGCACCATGCACATGTCGCTGTAAAAGGGACGCACCGTACGTACTTCGCGGGATCTTTCCGGGCTTTCGTCACGACATCCAAAATGTCTTCCCTCGGATGAGTCGTGGACGGATCAGCTATGTCATTGAAAGACTGAAGTAGTCATGCAAGCGAGAACACATGGAAGCCTCCTATCCAGATAAAGGTCAACTACTTCGACGAGACCATTAAAGCTCCAATCGCCTGGATTACATCGAGTCGGGGCTCCTTAAGGGGGTAAAGGGCAGCAAGGGTTTAGAATTGCGAAGCATATCTAAGCCCTATCCTTAACGAGTGTTTTGAGGCTTTTGTGTGAGTTCATTGTTTGGGTTGCAGCCTTCGGGGGCTGAGGTTTGAGGGTGTAAGGGCTTCGGGATTATATGCTGGAATTGTGGGGTTTATAGGGTTTCTTTTTTAGCTTTGGAGGTGTTCAAAGGTTTGGGGGTGGGGGGGGTTGTGACGGGTTTCAGGGTGTGTACGGTGTTGGGTTTCAGCTTAGATTTCGGGCTTGAACGATGTCTGAAGCTCGCCCAACCTGACGTAAGTAATACCTTAGAAGCTGCCCCCACCCTGTAATAGTGACCATATAAGGATTATACAGGATTATATAGGGCCCTATTATATTCCTATTATACCACTATTACAGGGTGGGGGCAGCTTCTAAGTAATACCCCAGAACAAAACAAAAGCCATTACATGTCTATGTATTCACATATCGCCCAGAACAAAACAAAAGCCATTACATGTCTATGTATTCACATATCGTCTATTCATATATACATGCGTATGCATGTATGTATGTGTACATTATATATATATATGTATATATATATATATATATATATACATATATATATATATATATATAGATATAGATATTATTCAGATCTTCGACCAAGCCCGAAAGCCGAAAGCCCCAGCATTGAAGCCAACGGTTCACTCTCTTTCGGATGTATGCGACTTCTAGGGCCTTATAAGTTAGAACAGGGTTGTATAAAGGGCCGATAATATGTTCCTTACAAAAATAATAAGGAACCCCCAAAAAGCTAGGTAATTATTTAGGCCCCTATATAGTACAAGCCTTCATCCCATGCAGGAATCTAAATAGCCAAGATTCTCGCACATGTTGTAGTCATTGGCCATCTCTTCCTCAGAGACAAACTCAAAAGGAATGTTGACCTCTTCCTCCTTCTCCTTCGTGCTGGAGACGGAGAAGCGCTTCATGAAGGCATCTGGGCAGTAGTCGCATGACTCAAAGAGTTTCAGCACCTTCGGACGGGTTCCCAGATCGTTCCACATGTTGCGGATGGACTCGCTCACCTTGAACGTGCCCGTTGGCGTCGGGGCCATGATGCGGCGCATTCTGCGATCAATGGCCGATGCCGTTGGCGCTTGCTCCTGCTTTGGCTGCGTAGCTGGCTGATGCCGCTGCTGACTTGCCTTAGCATGCTGTGGCGGCGGATGCATTGCATGCTGCTGCGGAACTCCCTCTTGCTGCTGCTGCTGCGGCGGATGCATTGTCTGCTGCTGCGGAACTCCCTGTAGTGGCTGCTGTGGCGGATGCATTGTATGCTGCTGCGGAGCTCCCTGTAGTGGTGGATGCGTTGCATGCTGCTGCGGAACTCCCTGTTGCTGCTGCGGTGGCAGATGCATTGCATGCTGCTTCGGAACTCCCTGTACTGGTGGATGCATTGCATGCTGCTGGGTATCTTGCTGCAATGGATGCTGCTGTGCCGGTAGATGCATTGCAACTGGCTGCTGATGCTGCTGTGCTGGCGGGTGCACTTCATGCTGCTTTGTGAAAACCTGCTGCTGCCTGTCACCGGCATGGAGCTGCACTGCGGAATGCTGCTGCTGGATCGTGGCCGTGGGCTGCACTGCTGGAACCTGTGGTGCATGCACTGCGGGAGGCTGCTGCTGCATCCTGGCATTGCAAGGCTGCACTGCTGGAACCTGTGGTACATGAATGGCCGGCTGCAGCTGGATCGGGCCTTTGGGTATCGCTGCTGTGGCCTGCGGTGCATGCACTGCGGGATGCTGCTGCTGGTAAGTGGCTTTCGGCGGCACTGCTGGAACCTGTGGTGCATGCACTGCAGGATGCTGCTGTTGGATCGTGGCTTTGGGCGGCACTGCTAGAACCTGAGCTGCATGCATTGCGGGATGCTGCTGTTGGATCGTGGCTGCGGTCGGTGGCATTGCTGCTGCAGGTGGCTGCTGCTTGGCCTGTGTTGCACTGGTTGTCGCCTGGCCCTGTCCTGCCTGTTCTGCGACCGGCTGCTGCTGTTGCGTGGCATCGGGTGCAAGATGCATTGCTGATTGGGGCCCGGTCGTGAGCATCTGTGGTCCTGCCTGCGTTGCGGGATGTTGCTGTTGCATCGAGGGCTTGGCGGGCGGCATTGCTGCAAGTTGCTGCTGCTTGGCCTGAGCTGCACTGGCGGTCGCCTGTTTTGCTGCAAGCTCTGCTGCAAGCTCTGCTGCAAGCTCTGCTGCTTCCGCCTTTTTTCGCACCCTGTCGTAGATTAGCTTCTCGGCTTTCTCAAATTCACCCTGCTGCAACAATCGTTCTTCCTCGAGGTGCTGTTCTGCTTCGGTCTGCTTCGGTGACCCTGTTGCTAACAGTGTCCCTGCTGGGGCCTTGGCTGCCTGCACTGCGTCCGGCTGCTGCTGCTTCTTCTGTGTGGCATCGGGTGGCATCGTGAGCATCTGTGGTCCTGCGTGCGTTGCGGGATGCTGCTGCTGGATCGTGACTGCAGGTGGCGTTGCTGGAAGTGCATGCATGGCTGCACTGGGTGTCGGGTGCCCGGCTTGGGGTGGCTGCTGCTGCGGCGGCGGAGTCGGGGTCTGCGGTGTGGGCGGTGTGGGTTGCTCTGCTGCAAGCTCCGACTCTTGGGATGTAACCTGAATCGTTGCGAACATACGTTGGGAGGAGGGCTGCTCGTGGGATTCTGCTTCCTGTGATTCGGCCTGTGTGGCTGCCATCATCCCCGGCTCCCCGTTTTCAAGCGCCCTTTGTCCATCCTCCGAAGTAATTCCGAAGCTTAGCTGACGTTGCGTAGCCGGAAAGAGTTCTCGACAGGCATCTTCCTGGGTACATGCAAAGCCGACCCCGTAGAAGGACTCTGCTTTCGAAGCCCTGCAAGTATTTTAAAATCACGAAAGCCTATATATATATATATATATATATATATGTATTATATTACACAGACCCTTATATATCCTATAGAAACCCTTGCACCAAATATTTGCCCCGAAAAAAACTCATTCGCCAGCCAGCGAAGGCACCACATCCAACTCCTCATCGGAAACGTAGAGGCAGCTGCCCTGCAGATCTTCCATGCACTCGTCGTAGAGCTCCTGGGCGGGAAATTTCTTTAGAAGGGTTCAGGGCTATCGGGTTCAAGCTTTATAGGCCTGCAAGTTTTAGCTGTGTTGTCTTGAAGGCAAAGAGTATATAGAAGGCATAATATATATATATATATATATATATATATATATATTATTATTATTATAAGGCTTCTATATACTCTTTGCCTTCAAGACAACACAGCTGAAACTTATGGGTTTATTGTACTTCTGAGGCCTGCAAGTTCTAGCTGCGTTTGTCTAGAAGACACAGGATGTCTCCTAGAAAGGCTTTTTTATGGGTTTGGGGTTTTGACTTCTGCGGCCAGGAAGTGCTGTTGGTTGTCTAGAAGACACAGGATGTCTCTTAGAAAAGTTGTTTATGGATTTGGGGGTTAAAATTTGACTTATGAGGCCAGAAAGTGCTGTTATCTAGAAAGCACAGGCATTCTAGAAGGGTTTACAGGGTTCAGGGGTTTATATACTTCTGAGGCCTGGAAGTGCTAGCTCTGCAGTCCAGAAAGCACAGGATCTCCTGCATTCTAGAAAAGTTTATAGGGTTCCGGGGTTTATAGACTTATGAGGCCTGGAAGTGCTATAACATCTAGAAAGCACAGGATCTCCTACATTCTAGAGTTGCTTATAGGGTTGAGGGGGTTAGACTTATGAGGCCTGGAAGTTCTATAGCTGTGTTGTTTAGAAGGCACAGGATCTTTCTTGCATTCTAGAAGGGTTTTAGGTAGCAGTGCTGTCTAGAAGGGACACAGGATGCATGTCTCCTTCATCTCAGCTTGCATAGCGGCCTCCTCTTCGTCAAGCTCTTGCTTGACCGGCACATGGTGTGCCGACCTGTCGCCCGGCTCCATCCCTGCCTAAGGACGGCAGCCCCAACCCGCTTCGATCACTGCCGGCGATGCATGCGGGTGCATCCATTTATGTGCTCGTCACTCAGCTTAGATGGTGCACACTCATAGATTTCCGTCGGACCACACAAAAATCAAGAGTGAATGCTGAATAGCTCCAGTGCGAGCCATGTACAATCATAACCCATGCCCAGCCGAAATTATGTAGAAATGCGATTCCGCTGATTTCCGCTCTTTCGCCGCGAGATTCCGCTCTTTCCCCGCCGGATTCCGCTCTCTCGTTTTCCGGCCAGTTTCGTATATTTCGACCTAGCACTCCCTACGTATTTGGATTAACAACAACCCGTGCCCAACCATGACTACAACAAGCTCCCTTCCTCTACATGTACCACAAATTCCAAAGGATCCTATCTAAGGAAGATTCAATACATATTCTATTAGACTCATGATTCTTGAGTAAATCATATATTGGCTAAACAGAGGTTACGTACTGTTTGCAAACCTGACGATATGTAGAATAAGGGCATCTAGCTAGGCCGGAACCCGTCGAGGCTCGAAGTCCCTGCTGTAGATCAAGACACCATGCAAGGCGAGGTCTAGAGGCTCTCTACAAAATAAACCCGACAGCCGAAGCCCTTTTGGGAAGCTTGCAAACCCTAAAAACCCAATAACCCCTAGCGAAACCTATAATATCTATATGATTTAGAAGCTGCCCCCACCCTGTAATAGTGACCATATAAGGATTATATAGGATTATACTATAGGGCCCTATATATTATATTCCTATTATACCACTATTATACAGGGTGGGGGCAGCTTCTAATATATGATTATATTATATAAACCATAGGATGTGTGTATGGCTTCCCAAATCATACAGGGGTCTGGGGTTTTATAGGGCTTTTAGTTTGAAGTGATGTAAGGCAAGATATCTATTGGGGTTTATAATAATATATGGGAGATATCTATCTACTATAAATACACAGATAGCCTCTATATCCCTCGATCACATCCGACGTGGTCTTGGCGGCATTGGCAACAGCCGAGGCCGCTTTCTAAAACAAATGAGTACATACGTAGCTAATATATGAGAAATATAGACGTAGCTACATGGCTTGCTACTTGGAGGATCATGGGACTTATACATATGGTAAGTATATATGGTATAATACCTTAATTGGGGTTACCTTGATAATATTTATAACCCACATACAGTTACTATATAAGTCCCATGATCCTTTAAGTAGGCTTTCTCACTACGGGGTCGCTTGGGCTTCGGGAGCAGGTCCAGGTATAAATGCATAAGGGGTTTTTATAAAGCCTGAAGAACCATTAGGGTGCAGGCATGCCCCAAGTCTTTCTAGCTGGATTATGGATCTAAGGAGCTGAGTGGTCTTATCAAAAACTGATGCTGCCTGTGGTGGCTCCTGTGCAGCAACTCGACTCATCGATCTGCCACGGCGGCAGCACTCGGGAGCTGTCTTCGGAAACGACTGGGTGTTTTGGGCTTTCAAGGAGCTCGGTGTTATAGGTCAAGCGGTATATATATGCTTGAGATCGTTTGGGTTGAGGTTGGGTCAGGTTATATTAGAAGTATATACGGTATATATGCTTGCTACTTAAAGGATCATGGGACTTGTAGTCAGTGTATGGTTATAAGTACATGATTTGGGGTTACCTTATATAACCCGTATATATACATACATATATATATATATATATATAATAAGTCCCATGATCCTTCAAGTAGGCTTTCTCACTACGGGTCGCTTGGGCTTCGGGAGCAGGTCCAGGTATAAATGCATAAGGGGTTTTTAGGGCCTGAAGAGCCATTAGGGTGCAGGCATGCCCCAAGTCTTTCTAGCTGGACTATGGATCTAAGGAGCTGAGTGGTCTTATCAAAAACTGATGCTGGTTCCTGTGCATCAACTCGACTCATCGATCTGGCACAGCGGCAGCACTCTGGAGCTGTCTCCGGAAACGACCGGGTGTTTTGGGCTTTAGAAGGAGCTCGGTGCTATATATAGGTCAGGCGGGGTTATCAGCTTGGGATAGTTTGGGTTGAGGTGTCAGGTTATCTTATAAGGTTTATACGATACATAGGCTTGCTACTTGAAGGGTCATGGGACTTATAAATAGTATATTGGTTATATAACTACCTTATATATGTTAAAGTAATTATAAGTATGTACCTGAATAATATACCCGTTACGATAAATAAGTCCCATGATCCTTTAAGTAGGCTTTCTCACTACGGGGTCGCTTGGGCTTCGGGAGCAGGTCCAGGTGTAAATGTATAGGCTTTACAAAAGGCGGGGCTGGGTGCCATAAGATCATGATAAAAGGTCGCATTGGGATAGGCTTGTGAGGCTTCCTGGCCATACTGGTTTGTTCGGGATCAGGCCGGGCTGGTCTCTAAGAGTGCCTTCTCCAGTGTTTGCCAAGGGCTGGGCCGAATTATGGATTGAGGTGGTCAATATATGGGATATATAGGCTTGCAGGGCTTTCTCACTACGGGTTGGTTTCAAGTCGGGCTGGGTCATGAAGAGTGCCTTCTCCGTACTTTATCAAGGGCTGGCCTATATATAGTGCATGGGTTGAGATTAAAGGTCATCTGCAGGATAATCTTGCAAGGCTTCCTCACTAAGGGTATACGGTTTGGGATCAGGTCGGGCTGCGGTCTCGAAGAGTGCTTTCTCTGATACACGACCCAAGGTCACCAGCGGCTGCATCGATGGCATCCAGACGACGGGTCCTGGCTGCAAGCTTGGGAAGCAGAGCCTCAAAATTAATTTCTGTCTCCTTATGTACGACAATATGCATATACAGGGTTGTATATAGGGTTATATATAATGCACATACAATTAATGGGTTCAGGGTGCTTGGTCTGGCCTTTCAAGGTTTGACACATGCACGTGCGAAGCCCTGATGTAGAAGCGATCGTGCTCCATATGTGTGATCCCCCGTCAATGAAGACTGTACAAACCCAAGAGCTTAAAGCGATGTGCAGCATGCATGCAGACCCAATGGAAGCCCATGCAACTTTCAGCGTAGCCACATACCCCCATTATAATATGTTGAAATCCTATATAATTATACAAACCCTATATAACTATAAACCCTGCGAGTACAACCAAAAGATCGATAGCCCATATACAGACCCCGCACAGAAAATCCGAAGCCCACTTCTTTTGAGAGCCTCTGGAGTTGGCCCAATGATCCATGGGCTCGACAACATAGACCTCGGCAGCAGTGGCTTAGGGTGTTTCGGCGTTCAGGGGGGCTTTATACCATGCTGTGGAAGGGTCTGGGTGACAGGCCTGTTTATCATACCCGATCATGTGAGGTGAGAAATGAGGCTAAATGCTTTTAGGCATCCATTGTTCCATTTCTGGTTTTGGTCGGCATGACCCTGTAATCCTCGATCGTTATAACCTCAATCCAATATTATCCCCGGTATTATGCAGGGTTTATGGGTCTTATAAGATTTGAATATATATATATATATATATATATATATAGCTCTATATAAAGCTATATATATATATATATATATATATATATTCAAATCTTATAAGACCCATAAACCCTGCGAGCCTTCATATAAACTGCACAGCCCACATATAATAGCCAACACAGACCCCCGACAGAAATCCGAAGCCCATGTCTTTTGAGAGCCTCTGGCCTGTTGGCCCAATGATCCAAGGCATTCTGTGGCTCGACAACATAGACCTCGGCAGCAGCGGTGTATATGGTGTTTCGGCATTCTGCGTGGCTTGGCGGTTCTGGGTCAACTTCAATAAGATTATATGTTATGTGCGATCGAGGCAAAATACATGATATGGGGGTGAAAGGCGAGGCTGAATGCTTTTGGGTATCGGGCCGGCACGACCGATCAAGCTTTTAACTCTTTAAACCACACGGACCCTGAGTATCTTAAACTGCGTGCGGTGTGTATGGGTCCTCCGATTAAGTTGGCCCCGTGCCAAGAACAGGAGTGTGCGGAGCCATGCTGTCCCTGATGCAGCCCGAAGCCGGCCCCATGAAACCCCAGACACCCCACAAAGAGAGAGAGAAAGAGAGAGAACAGAGAGAGAACAGAGAGAGAGAGAGAGAGAGAGAGAGAGAGAGAGAGAGAGAGAGAGAGAGAGAGAGAGAGAGAGAGAGAGAGAGAGAGAGAGAGAGAGAGAGAGAGAGAGAGCGGAGCGAGAACAGAGAGAGAACAGAGCGAGAGCGAGACGAGTGCAGGAGTTCCTGAATCGGCCCTGTATACACAGACATATAATCTGATTCAATTCCCCATGAACCGGATTGAAACAGATCGAGGCACCAGCTGAAAGAGTCCCCCATGGCATCGTCACGTAGCAAAAACGGGGGCAGGACTGGCTTCACTGTATTTCCCGTAGAGCATTCTGAATGCATGCGGCGAGCTCTCCAAGAAAACGTCTGAGGAAGTCCCACAGCTGGCTCAAAGTTCGCGTTTTGAACTTCAACTCCGATTTGCACTGGTTAATGCCCTCCACACAAGAGTCGGTGCTCTTCCTTACATAATGAAGTTCGCGAGTCAAGGAAACAACCTCTTCGTTCAGCGTCACAACCTGCTTTCGCAAGCGGTAGAGCTCTTGGTTGACCTCCTCCAACCGATCGAAAAAAGCTGCTTCCAAGTCGGGCATACCGGCCATGTTGTTACTCGGGGATTTCGTGAGTTTAAAGGATCGATCGTGCATATGTCTTGATGTTGATCTTGAACAGCTATAAGGCTATCGGCGCTGCGGGAGCCGAGTGTGCGATCGGCGACTAGCTCAAAGATGACGGCAGGCAGCGATTGAGTTCCATGCTGCTATGGTACATGTAAGCATGATCGGTCTTCGGGGATTTAAGTACTAAATATACCTGTGTATATATATATATATATCAGGGAATTCAGGGGACTAGAAGAAACGATGGAAACCCTGAATTGTTTAATTATGGGTCCCATGCCCACACGACCTTGCATATGCCATACCAAACTCCTGCATACAATTAAATACTGACAAGATCGGAGATGTTGGATATAATATGATTATGTACAACTGAACCCCCGAGTATAAAGCGAGCCAGGCTGGCGATCACCGAGTGAGATGCCCATCTTCATGAGGGAAGCGACACTTTGCCCCCGTCGCATCTCGCCTGCAAGTGACCAATAATGATAAACAACACAAAAAACAGTGACAGTGTCAAGCGTCAAGCGATGCAACATGTTTGGAAAGCAGGCACAGCCGAACACTGAGTTTTGTCGCACCACGGTAACCGCGGCCACCCCCTGCTCGTATACTTGCTGGCATCGGAGCCTTGACGATGCACGAGGTTCTGTCCCCATGCATGCTGCTAGCTCGAGCTCCCACACATCCAATTTAGAGCTTCATACCATGCCACACAGAGGCGGTGAGACTTCCATACAAAGTACTTGATAGCAGGCTAGTTGCATGGCAGTGCTAAGAAGGGTGCATTCTATTGTGAGGGAAACAAGTATATAGCTTGAACACACATGGCTTATCACAGCAGCCACAGCATCTGGTTGACTACGGCATGAAGCTGGCCCCTGAAACGTGTCTCACTTTGAGACGGACTTCACGAAGTCCTTCGCCCGGTCACGGGCAATCTTGAGGTAGTCCTCGATCGTGCTGTTCGCAGGCAAGAGGGGCTTGATCTTGTCGTACCAGGCATACTCATGTTTCGAAGGAAATCGCAAGGAAGGCTTAACGTGGCTGTCGAAGATGTCACGGATCGCTTGCCATTGCATCGATTGGTCTGGAGGATTAGGGCGATGACGGCGAGCGAACACCTTCTCCTTGAACGGCTCCTCTTCCTCGGCAACCGGCTTCGCGGCTGCTTTGGCTTTCGCCTTGGGTCTCCCTGCTCTCTTGGGCTCTGCCTTCGCTTTGCAGGGCGTAGCTTCGCCTGGCGAATCTGCGCCCTCGGGGTGTGAATCATCAGGCTGCTCCTCCGGCTCATCCTCGGCTTTGCCGTTCGCCTTTGGTTTTGCAGCTTTCTTGCCTGCTGCCTTCGCTTTGGCCTTTGCTTTCGGGGGGGCAGAAGAGCCTGGCTTCTGCCCACCGCGTCCACGGCCTTTCCCACGTCCTTTCCCACGTCCCTTGGCCTTTCCATCGCCCCCGGCTTTCGAGATCTTGCGTTTGGCAGCCGGTCGCTTCTTCACCACAGGCTCATCATCATCTTCCTCGCTTTCCTGGCACTCCTCATCATCTTTCATCTCATCATCATCAGCTGCAGCTTTGCCGGCCTTGCGTTTGCCCTTGAACTGATCCGTTCTGCTGACCTCTTCCTGCCCAGATATGAGGACATGTTTGTATGCATACAGCCACAGGCAGGACATCTTAAGAAGCAGGACATGCTAAGCAAGTTGCAGGGATCGCACACACAACTGCAAGTCCCGAAAGTGCCTTGAAATCCAGAACACTGAATTGCTTGTCGGAAGCCGAGGTGGTGGACTCCTTGGCAACGGCTTCCTGAGGCGAGACCTGCACGATGGACTCCGTTGCAACGGCTGCCTGAGGCGAGACAAGGTCCAATATCGAACATGTTTTATGTAGAACTAACAACAGAAATACATGCACAGAGATCGGACTGATGCATCCAGAGTGCTTGCGGCTTGCATTCGCTGGCAGCAACATCAAGGGTCGGGGAAACTTCACCAGCAGGCTTGCTTTCAGGCTCACGAGGAGTGGACAGGGAAACTTCACCAGCAGGCTTGCTTTCAGGCTCACGAGGAAGGGGGAGGCAAACTTCACCAGCATGCTTGCTTTCAGGCTCACGAGGAGGCGACAGGCAAACTTCACCAGCAAGCAAAGGCTCACGAGGAGGGGCCAGGCGAACTTCACTAGCAGGATCAATGCTTTGAGGCTCAGGAGGAGGCTGCATGAAGATGTCGTGGGGCTGGGTGTCCAAAGCGCTCGGGTCGCCTGGGCTACTTAAAGCTTTTACAGGGCCATTGCATAAAAAGGGTTCCTATAGGAAGTCGTTATGCAAGGCTATTTGGTGCGTATGCCTCAGGGATTCCAGACGACAACACACGACAAGCTAATGCGACTAGGTCACACATGGCACTGGCTTTCAGGGCTCGCCTCTCGGCAAACTTTTGCCTGATCAGGATTGCAACCTATCTGCGTGCAGCCGGCTGCGGCTGCCTGGAATCTACCGAATCTTAGAGGCAACGGGGTATGGGAACACGACAAATATATTCAATCTAACTAATTTCAGAAAAGATTCTTAAGCTCGGCGAGGCGTGCCAATTTGGCTTGGGTTGATCTTCTGGGTGGATCTGATGTAGACTCTGACGACATCCCAGCTGAGTCCGTGAGATGCGACCTCCTCTCAATCATGGGTGGAGGTTTCCCATTGACACAAGGAGTCGCCACCATTCCCAGGTCATGGCCTCCGGAGACCTTAGCCCCAAGCATCGGCATCACGGCATGCTCCGGATTGTCTGGAGTAGGCCCCCCAAGCACAGGCATCTCAGCAGGCTCCTGATTGGTTCGAGTAGGCACACCATGGCCCCCCGGCATCTCACAAGTAGGCATTTGCTGCCCAAGCACCGGAGTAGGCACAACCCCCGGCATCTCAGCAGACTCCTGATTGTTTGGAGTAGGCACATCGTCCCCAAGCACAGGCATCTCGCAAGGCTCGGGAGTAGGCACCATGTCCCCAAGCACAGGGATCTCAGAAGGCTCGGGAGTAGGCACACCGTCCCCAAGCACAGGGATCTCATAAGGCTCGGCAGGAAGATTGCACTCATCATCAGAATATGGTTGGAACTCGAGCCCATCGGCTAGAACGTAGGGGTCCCCAACATCCAATGCAGGAGCCTCCTCCCCATCATCAGCAGCCATTGGAGCATCGCCGTCCTCCTCAGCGTCGTCCTCGCCGCCGCTTGGATCGCCTTCGCCATCGTTGTCATCATGATCAGCAGGATCATCGCCGCCCCACCGAGCAATCATGATACTCATGATGGGCTGCAGAGCTGGATCCTGCATGCAGTGCATAGCCCATGAACCCAATCACAACAACAACCCTTTAACGGAGATCTAAGCACACATTGCGGAGTTCGCAGATACCTAGCTAGACTGATCTATCGAGCAATACCTATAGAACCCGTGCACAGTCCCGGAAGTTCAAAGCTCCAGTGCGGTATCTCCGAAGACAATAGCTCATCAACCTCTTCAAACCCCATTCGTCGACGTAAATCTTGACGGTGTCTGGCGAGGGTACGAGCAATCGGTGGATCTCCTTCACCTGGGGATGTTTTGGGCAAATACATGTAGAGGGATATAATTCCTAGTTGGGGTCTATATAAGCATTCACAGAATTCGGGGTATTTGTCTGCAGGGCCTCTTGTCTGATCCAAGCAATAGGAGGAGATTTCGGGGTATCGGCAACGTCGACCCAGCTTTGCATTGTCGGGCGAACAACGAATCTGTTGAGCTTCAGGGTGACCTTCGTAGCGACCCCTGTGCTTGCTGCCGTTGGCCAATCCAGAAGCCTTCCCTGGGTCCTCATTCGATCCCTTGCAATCTCACACCCATCCCAAGCCTTGGCAAGCTTGTGCTTCTCCGGCCATGCCTCCCCCATTTGGCCACAAAATGTGGCTCGGCACAAACAGGCAACCTCAAGAATCGAGCCTGCATGTTGAACAATGTATCAGGAAGTGTATGCGGTCAGACAACCATGCATGTAGTTGCACACACCCACTATAGTCATATACAGCGGAAGCCACACAAGTTATGCAGCTGAAGTCAGACATGTAGATGCACACTCTCAGCAGTCGTACAGCAGTGAATGCAAGTCAGCACACAGCTATATAGGCCTTGCGGAGCTGAAAGCTCACAAAGAAAAGGATCCTGCAGACATAGACAATTGTCAAGCTAGATCGTACAAGTTTTCTGGGGCCGTTCTCCTGCCTCCTGTTTGCCGAGGCTGAATACCAGCTGGAACTGGAAGGTGAGGATCAGGAGGAGCCGGCCTGTCGTGCGTGGATTCTTGGGTTAGTGCTTGCTCTAGGTGGCCCCGGCCTTTCAAAGAGTGCTGGAAAATCGTGGTGAACCACCAAAGTAAAATCACCTGCGAGGGCGACTGTTGAATATTCCGTATTTTGTTGAAGAAGTGTGCAGCTGCTAGAAGCGATTGCAATGCATGATCGATTTTCCCCAAAATTTAGCTAACCAGCTCGGCAGCGCATTGGTCCATGCTACTTCTGCATTGCAACAGCTCCGAGCCGTACCCAGCTGGCCGCACGACCATGGAAGTCATCTGCTGCCGTGAGGATCTCAAATCCCGCGGCTGCCTGGGATGTTGCGTGCGGGGAAGCAAAACCCAGAATGTCCGGGCTTGCAGGGTTTATGGTATCTTCTAAGGTTTCGGGCTTGGGCTTCTTAATACAGAGTGAAAACGACCTAAAGGAATTCGGGTTTGGGCTTCTAAGGGTACCTCGTGACTATATAGGCTGTCCCCTTGCTGTTTTCGGATAGGTGCACATCTCCTCGAAGAGAAGCCGGAAGTGCAAGCAGATACCTTTATGACGAATGTTGTCAACGACGTTCTCCACAATCTGGTCCCCTGATGTCGGTGGGTCCTCCAAACTATTGAAGATATGTGTCTTGACAAATGAAAACCCTCGATCATGCATCGTCCTCCAAGCTGTACATGGCCCGGCAGCATGCCACCCAGAAGCGGTTGTCCATCTGCATCAGTCCTGCACACTCGAGAGGTCTATAATTTACAAGCCTGAATTTAACCCATTGTCTAAAATCACCGCTTGTCCTTCGAGCTGGCAAAGCGAAATGCTTTGCAGCGACACATTCGCCAACAAACCACCCACGGTCGAAAAAGGCATGGCAAGCGAAAGCAGGAAACCTAGCTATGCCCACCAGAACCAAAAGCAGCTAGGCAGATCGGGTCACATCATTGTGAATGCAGGCCCATGCACTCGCCAACTTCACCATGCAACCGCTTGCAATCAAAGCAACAGCGAGCAAGGAGAGCGTGCCTCCATGAGCAGATCGATGTCGCCATCATGACATGTCGAATCGCATTGCTGTAGCTATATCTCATATAGGTTTATAACCACGATCGATACCCATTCAATCTTGATCGATGCACACTCAGGCTGTATCTAGCTTATATGTTGAGCTCTATGCAACTCAACACCTCGATTCGTCCTGGCTGTTGGTGTGGGCTTTCAAGGAAACTTGTATCTGGGTTACAACTATTTCTACTTATTCTTGTGTGACGGGAAGCATATAGGTCGCATTTGATTATTTCACAAGTCGGCTTTGCATCGAAACAACTCTGTTGTTATATCAAGCCAAGACTTGGGAAAGGCCCAGGCGAAAACGCTCTCTCGAGAATGTGGCTTGTTAGCAGAATCGCTCTTTCAATGAACCTGTCAGCACACACTTCCACATGTTTCAAACTCTCAATTCCGCTCTCTCCCCGCTGCTTTCCGCTCGTTCGTTTGGGAAACGTTTTTCTGCGTGGTAAATGTTTTTTGCTGGAAGAGCAAAAATAAAGCAGCAAAAGGTTTCACAGGTAGTAGTAGTAGTAGTAGTAGTAGTAGTAGTAGTAGTAGTAGTAGTAGTAGTAGTAGTTGCAGAAGTAGTAGTAGTACTACTACTACTAGTAGTAGTAGTAGTAGTAGTAGCAGTAGTCGTGGTGGTGGTAGTAGTAGTAGTGGTACTATACCACTACCACTACCACTACCGCTACCACCACCACCACCACCACGACTACCACGACTACTACACAACTCTGCAAGGAGGTCTTTTCAATAGAATTCCCGTCCTTGCCGAGTAGCCGCTGCATGATGAAGCTGCCGACAGAGCCTGCGCTTGCCAGTGTCACTTTAGCTCCGCGATGATATTCAAGCCTCGATAATATATGAAACTCTACCGCATGGTCGGTCGGGGTCCTATGTCTCCCAGTTGGGTTCTTGAAAAGGTGATTGCTAGCTTTGGAAGATCACTCGAATTATAGAAACAGATAGGGAATCGTTCCGCCTGTTTTCCACTTGGTTTCTCATGCATCCTAGAAACCTTCCCGAACGCCTGTTGCGGCCAGGACTAAAGTTTGTTTGTGTTGGGTAGTTGTTGCTTGGTTTGCTTATTAAATATGTGTTGTTGTCTTGTTTGCTTACTGATCTTGCGTGATTGCGTTGGCGTGTTTCTGCGCTGTTCGCATGTTTGATCTAGGTGTTGAGTCGTTAAGTGTACCGTGCTCTCTCTCTCTCTCTCTCTCTCTCTCTCTCTCTCTCTTTCAGATAAGATGTATTCATGTTGTGTTTGCGTGTGTTTGCGATTGTGCAGCAACCTGTCTGCATTTCAGTTTGTAATGCTTTGACCCTATTAGATTAGCTCTGATGTTCGTTTGGATGTGTGTGAGACTTCTTGTGCTTGTCGGAGATTTGTTGAATCCTGCTCCTAAAATGCTTGTGTTTGACCAGGATCATTTGAAATGGTTCCTATGATTTCTGAAAGTTCCTCAGCGTTCCTAACGTCTTCCGTCTTGCTAGTCCTTTTTAATGTTCCTCATGCTTCCTGTTCTTGTCGTAATGTTGTTCTGTTCCCCAGAACCCACTACGTCACTAGGCAGTCTAACAGCACATCTCTTGAATGGCTTGGGATAAACTCCAGCAAAGTACGTCGCCTGGCCTTCTTCGAAGGTATTCCCGCGGCCGGAGGTTTCGCAACGGACAGTCCCACGGATCAGGAGCCCACCCTGGAAGCAGAAATCGGCAGATTAAACCCCCCAACCACTAAAGCTTAAACCTTTACGCCCCTAAACCCCGAAGCCTAAACCCTAATGTTGGGATGAGCTTGAAGGGCTGGAGCTTTTTGTCTTGATGTGTGGAGGGCCTCTCACGTGAGATCCCACTCACCTCGGAAGCATGCAGCCTCTGCCCTCGCCTGTTATCCGGTTCTGCATGAAGAAAGGCATAATCTGGCAATGATGCATGTCTTGCTTTTGACACGGTTTGGTCTTAGGAAATAGAGTTTAGGGCTTATGCAGGCTACTAGGTGCAGAGTCTGCGCTAGTTGCCATGGTGCCCGTGCGCGGCACGGGCATGACACCCCACCCAGAATCAGAAGGCTGAAGCCTACAACTACACTTTGCTGTAGTATATTTCCCTATACTACTATTTTCTGTTACACGACATATAGTATTGAACTACATCATAATAACCGTTACAGTATGTTGTAGTGATGGTTATAGTTTAATATAACATGACATAGTACTACATTAAACTACATTATACTATGTTACAGTACATTACATCATACTACGTTTATGTTACATGAGTATGAGAGATTACGTATATTAAAGTCACCTTGTATTACACTAGATCCTGTCATGTTATACTATGTCGTGACACCAAAGCTCCGAATGCCCCGGAAGCACAAAGACTCCAACAATGCACCAGTCTCAAAATTAGAGGTTCTTTTAGTTCTTTCCCGTGTTAGGCTACCTAGACGACCTCTAGTTAAAAAAAGCAGTCAGCTGGATTGGAACTGATACTGAGCTGGACTTTATGATACAGAGACCTTGAACGGTTCCATTCTTAGGATGCCGAAAAGTCCCAGGCCATTGGCCATCGCCCGGCCTCCTCCACCGTGCCAGTGTAACTGTTCCGGGTGCCCTGCTCCTCCTGTGGCTTCTATTCCAAAGGGGGGAGGCAGAATGAATGGCCTGAAGGCTTCGGGACCTGGGTGAACGCGTCACTTCTGCCAACGAGATGTGTGCAAAGAGACGGTCGAGGCGCATACAGGCGGGCAAGCATCCCAGGGACTCGAGCGCAAACAAACACACACACACACACACACACAGGGGCGCACACACACAAGAACAAGAAGAGAGAGAGAGAGAGAGAGAGAGAGAACAAGCAAGGGAAACAAACAAATAAACAAGCAGAAGCAAGACAATATGATACACTCCGCCGCCCCGCGCACGCACACACACACACACACACACACAAACACACAGGAGAGCAAGGGAAGCAAGCAAGCAAACAAACAGAAACAAACTAATCAACATGATACACACAGCCGGCCCGTGCACGCACACACACGCAATACCTCTCCCGCTCTGTTTCTCTCTCTCTCTCTCTCTCTCTCTCTCTCTCTCTCTCTCTCTCTGCACAAACGCAAGAAACAGTGTAAGCAAGACACATACGAGCAGCAATGACGAAATTGCACCAACAGAGAACAAAATGCGATAAAACAAAACGTACGCGAACACAGGAACACAGGCAGGCCGGCAGGCAGGCAGGCAGGCAGGCAAGCAAACACCAACCAACTAACCAAGCATAACCAAGCAAAACAGTCACTCACAAACTCAACGATGTACCCTTTCCAGAAATGGCTGCTTTATCCTACGCCAGAAGAACTGTTCGGTGCCATCCTCGATGATGGTAACCTGGTCCCCAGCGACCTGAACCGTCAAGCAGATATTAATGTCTTCTGTTGATTTGGGTAAGCTGCATCATTTCGGGTTGAAGCTCTGTAAAAGTACATTCAGCATTCATGAAGCGAACTCGTCCTGCGGATGGCACACGCTATGTCACGTATTCCGACAACTTG